CTCTGCAGCCTGAACGGCTTGATGGATTTTAGCTTGAGAGGTGTCGTTAGATTCGTATTTACTGTGAGAGTGCCACTGGGTATATCAAAATAAAAAAATACACAGAGATAATAGCAGTCAGGTTTTTTAGTTTTTTTTTTAATTATATTCCACTTGTTTAAATAATTGATTGACGTTTCGTGATCAGAGACTGCATGCGCATGTACAATATCTGAGAAAAAATGGACCCCGATTAACTCGCTCACCAGATGAAACGCAAAAAGTACAATACTTCTACTTCACAATGGTTTTCCGTGTTACTTGCCCGGACAAGACTGCACATTCGAGTGACAGAAAGCTCCGTGGACCTATCAAAGTTAAAAGGAGACTCGTATTTCAAAATAAGCTCTTATTAGAGAATCCTGGCAACAAAGATATATCAAATATCCGAGACAAATATAAGGGACGCCTCTTGTATAATTGTGGTAATACGTTGGACATCATAAGAACACAATTAAACGTTCATTATATCCTTTCGTTTCCCTGACCAAAAAATCCGTTCCGTTTTTGTTAAAAAAAAATATGATTACGAAGCGTCACTCAACTTGTGCCGCCCTAGCTTCGTGTATCTGACGGCAAATCCATCACTACGGGAAGCTAAACATTTAGTCAGCAAATAGTGTTATCGTGCGAGTGTAATTAAAATGGCTGGTTAAAATATCATTGTAGTTGGCCTATCCACGAGTAAATCTCTTGTTCTTTTGCGACTCTCCTATTGTTGATACTAAAACATACCCTCGGAATTTAAAATGCCCCTGTAAACTTTCCGGATGTCAAATGTCTTCGAAACCTGAAATTGTATGCATATTTCTTTGTTTACTTCGTGGCTACATACATTACAAAGATCAATCTCAATCTATGGCGGCGTAATTATTGGTCATGCTCTTGGTGACCTGGCAATATGTCCCAAAGATTTCCTCCCTTTTCCACTCACAAAACTCACGATGGCTCCGCACAGGAACTTGCGAATGAATGAACAGTGCCCTGCTATCTGTCGTTACACCCACTATCGGTCGCTTCCTTTGGCTGAATAATAGCCCCGTTGACGCAGCGTATCTCAACGCCGGCACAAGAGTACACAACACCCTATCTTCGCGCAAGGATCGTTGAATCGCTCGCCAGAAATCCAACGGCCCAAAGTTTAATCGGCACGTTTTATTGAACGAGTGAAAGAATATTTTGAATAGAATTCTGACTACAAAGGACAAATAAAATCCAAAACATGTCCCCTTCGCTACTTAATCCTCTCTGAAACGAAAAAGGGGGAAAAGACTAAACCTTTTTAATCCTTACCTGTCCGCGCGATTGAAAGCTGTTATCGAAATTGGCTGTGTAGTGCGTCGAGAAATAAAGTATCACGATCGGTATTGTAAATGCCAAAGCGGCTTATTCATATTTCTGAATTGAAAATATATGAATACAGGTAAATTTTGTTTGAAAAGTCACCAACAATAGGCATATAAATGTTAACGCCAGGACTATGTATCGAGAATTGTAAAAGTTTGGCGTCGCGTCATAGACCTATATGCAAAACTGCGATGTGCTACTAAAAATAAATACGATCTTCAAGCTAAGTAGGTACTTGCCATATGCGGAGCTGAATACTGATAACGCGCCTGGCCGCCAGTTTTTAATAAAACAGACGTGTACATACGTACATGCTGTGTTATGTATTCAAATAAAAATATAACATTGGGTAATACTACAGCGATATCTTCTTATATAAATGTACCATGCAGGTTTAATTGCTAATTCAAGTATCTCCTTTGGCAATTTCAACGGGATTTAAAGTGTTTGTGACGTGTCTGAGATTACCAATCAGAGAATACACTAACCTGTTATTCACTGACATTGGATAAGGTTAATATATCAGGTTTTGACGTCGGATTACATATAATCATGGTCCTGGATACATATATCTGTCTGACAAACAGTAAACACGCGGGCCAACGGGTGGCACACGTGTTCAAAGTTCAAGAAACTACTCTTATTATAATATCAAAAACGTATCTTAAATAGCGCCATCTGTCGCGGAGTTTAAATCCACTTACGCCATGTGCAAGTGTTATGGCCCTAATTTGAAAACACGACAAGATACCGTAATACCATACTGTAGATATTATTCTCCATTAATGAACTCGTGTTGGACCGCTAAGGCCGCTCCAAAATGAATGCTTTGTTGTTTAAATCCGAATTATATATCTGCGCCAAAATCACGAAGATAAAGCGAGCGGGACAGTATTATTAAGATTCCATGAAACTGAGCTGAGTGGTTAATCTTGAAATTTGAAATGGGTCTTTGCCTTTGTCTATTTTAATGGAGGAAGGCGTCCATTTAAAGACTACGGGGCGGGGGTGCAGTTTATCATTATTACCTAAGTATAATATGTCAGTAAACCATCGACAAAAATACAAATACTGCTTAAATATGATAAATAATAAAGCATGAAGATGTATCAATTATAGTGCGGAATGCGAAATTCTGAATACCTACTATTCTCTATAATATTTAATTACAATAGACTGAGTTAACTTTCGCACACCATTGAAGACAAATATAAAATTTACAAAGTACTGAGAAAAGAAAGTAAAATAAGTAATCAACAATATTCTAGACTGATACTTTTTTAAATGAACTAATCTCTTGCCTTTGATGCACGAAGGCACATGTAATGCTGTCAAGTACAGTGATGAAGAAGAATACTCTGGAAATTATTTTGTGATTGCAATTGTTAACATTCTTGAATATGTAACGCCAATTACTTTATATTATATATTTTTTGAATTAACTTTCCGTCACCAAATAGGACATGTAGCAATTATCTATATGTCGGTACTCGGTACGTTATGATCATTTAAGCCTTTTGTACGGTAATATACAAATAAGTAAGATGAATGAAGTGTAATGCGCTAGTACACCTGTAGTTGAAGCGCAAGTAAGTTATTTAGTTATTTTCGATTAAACCGAAAGAACTTTTTTATATCTGCCGCCCAACTTTACCTTTTTCAAATCCCATAAGCTTCTTTGGGTCGAGCTGATAAAAGAAGAGCTTTGGGTTTACTATAAGAAATATTTATCATAAATATAAAGAAAAACTCGTACCTTACTATGATAGAACAAGTTTTGATGGCCTTTAATTTTTTTAGTTTACTAAATAACAGTTATTAAACTTAATTGAATTGGAACTATAAAATAAAATGAAGGATCTTCTCGTGTAGTGTTTTGAATATAATGTTTAAAGCCTTTATTTATACTTTTACACAATTTTACTATTTCGTTTTATCTTCTTATATCACACTAATGTTATTCTTTTGACTACATACATCACTTTTCTAATTTTGGAATAAAAGTCATTTCGATAATTTACTGCTTTTTAATTTAAAATGATCATGATAATGGTGGTAGGATTAACTCGTTGAATAAGCAGCCAGTCATACATTTTAAATTGAAACCATCAATTGTCTACTTTAAAACTACTATACATCACTGGTTATTTATCGTCTAGCTTTATTGACAGATCTTAGCTTTGTCTTGGCGCGCCTCAACATCGTGAAAGTAATATTAGACAACAATCGCTTATTAAAGGCTATGACAGACAGTTCAATGTTGCGTCATCTATTGGTTTATCTAACGCGATCACCGACACACCCTCCATTAAATTTATCGAGACGATTCCCAAAAAAAGAGTATAAAATATTAATGGACGTGGAAAATTTACAATACTTACGCCTTAATGATCATTCTGATCATTCTGATCATTAAGAAAATCTTTTTAGTCAATACACAGAGTTTAACCATCCTTTTGGCAACTAAAATGAAATTAGAAATTCATTTGACAGCTGATTAGTTGACATCTACGATGATCAGTGTTTCAGAAACCGGGCGTTAGAGCCAAAGTCACCGGCGCATCCGTCTCCGTAATTAATGAACGCGGCAGAATAGTTCAAGACTGGACGGGCAGTCCGCAGCGGGCGAGCCAGTTTATATGGCTTAAAAGATTTGCAAGTGGAGCGACCCACCTATTGCAACGTCATAGCGTAGTTTGAACATTTATCGATTATGCGGCTTCCGTTTCGCTCCGATGCTGGCTCGATTTTAACTCGTAATCGCCCACTGGCACGGGGTGGCGTTATTATGCATCGCCGCGAGGGGCGGTCGCGACGAGCGAGGGATTTCTGTTGTTAATACACGATGCTCAAATTATCGGTTCATACATCGGATTATTATTAATGAGACGATAGTTCAACATGTGTTTTGGATGTGTGTGTGTTTCTCACCAGCTCTGAGCTAGTAGCCGGAAGTTTGTTTAAAGTCAAACACATAAAATTCGTCCAACAGAAAAGCGAGAAAGTGATTCAATTAAAACGTGGTAAAACATCGTATTCGTACTGGTCAATCAACTATCCAATTCCTTGGGCCAAATATGTACAGGAAGTAAAAGAAAAATAAATGCTTGTAAAAATTATAGCTTTTGGAGTACTTCCTAAAAGTTTTTATAAGAGTATATTAAGAAACAAGTAACTACAAATAAGGTTAAATAAATAATGTTTTTTAAGGATCAAATATAAAATAGTTCGTTTCAATTTTGAGTCTTGATTTTATATGCATTCGGAAATATGTAAAAATATAATAAATACTGGGATTTGAAAATGTCTTCCTGTATGCCTTACCTTTTCCTAATTCTTCGAGTTAAACAAAGCAGATCCACTAGTCTCTACCATTTGTTACTTTAACATTTATGTACGTAGGGTACATCGCAACATATTCCTTAACACTCTTCCTTTCTTTTCTTTCTAAATTCGTTTTGTACATAAATGTGTCCGTAAAGAAATTAAAAAAAAAATTGGCAAATGTGTATAGTGCACCATTTGGCAATAGGGTTTATATTGGTAGGATTTACATTAAAGCATTGAGGCAGCTAAAAAAAAGTGCACGTGGGAATTCCGCACGGATTTATTTAGCGAACGGAACGCAAGTGGCTGCTCCGAAGGCGGGTGTATCCGGCGCGAGGCGACATCTGCCACGGCCCGGCAGGCGACCCATTAGCGAGTGCTCTCGGTACGAGATGATGTACTACACGAGCGGTGAACGGGATAGTAACAATTTGGCTATCTGTTTTACGATGACGGTGGAGTAAATTCAATTAGTGCTATCTATCGCTACACCATATTATTGTTCTGTATTAAAATTACACAAAAGACTTTTTCAATTTCCCCGAAGGAGGATTGTTTACGATGCCATTGACAGTAACACAGCATTCTTATATGACGGTAGTAAACCGTTGCTAATTGATGTCTAACGGCCGTATCATAAAGGCCGCAAGGTGAGCGAGTAGATTCACAATGCCCCTCCAGAACAGAAGGTTCACCGTATTGGACTCGCCGTATTGGTACAGTTGGCTCTCATTGTTCCGCTCTATGTCGAATTCAAATAAGTATATTGTTTTGTGCCTATAGTAACTCGTAGGTAGAATAAAGCAGAGCTAGGTACCGCATACAGAACTTTTACGGTAGCGATAAAATCACCATGACGGGGTCAACGGCTGTGCGACACTCGACGCAAAAGCGCGTCCTCACCGCTTCCTACAACGCTCCCACAATTACCGACCATTGCGCGCTCTACCGTGTGATAATGTTTGGCCAAGTCACGCTCTGCTCCCGTGAGATCAGTCTGGTTCAGTGACGCCGGGTTTTAGGGTCGTCGACGCCTCTGATTCATCACTATTTGGACAATTATTTTGATTCCAATTTTGCAAATAGGACGTTAAAATATAGACGTTACGGTGGTAGGGCCACGTAGCAACCTCGGCTGTTGCACGAATGGGCAGGCCCGTCCGGGTAAGTAACATGATCTCACAGAAGACCAGCGTAAAGTGGAAGTATGACAAATACTTTCACGTTTCGTCTGGTGAGTGAGGTGGCCGGAGCCCAATTTTGAAAAGGTTGTCAACGCATCTGTAACCCTCGGGGGTCCATGGGCGGCGGTTTTCACTTAACATCAGGTGAACCACTGCTCGTTTGACAACTTTCGCATAAAAAAATCATAATGTATATAACTTTTCCAAAGTCAAAAAAGTATTCGAATGTTCTAAATGAAAATCAGGAAATTACTTTTATTATCAATTAACATACAATAATTAACACTGTCTCTCTTACTATTTCGAAGCTTACTAAACATGTATAAACTTTGGCTACGCGAGCGAATATCCACAATTACGTAACAATGGGATCTGCTCTTTGTGGCACCTCAGTGCAAATTAGCGTCAATAAGACAAAAAGCAGGCACAAAGTCGGGGCAGATAAGGGCCTTAATTAGGGAGACGGAGGAACAAAGCGCGCCTAAAAAATATCATCGCGTTATCGCAAAATGAAACTGACGAGCATTTTATCTGACGGCGTCACTTGCCAAGCTTTATTAATAAAAGCATACTCGTGCAAGTGATGAATGAGGAATTTCGTCACAAAAGAGATTTAATTCCATCACGTCTAAGGGGATATTTATTGATGAGACAATAATTGTCACTGAGGTCGAACATTACAATTTTGTGTAGGAAAATATTAAAATTATAGTTAAATGCTTAAGTTACTGAACTGTATCACGTGCTATAGTCACGTGCAGTAATGTACAAGCGAAGAATAATTATAATGCGTTTATTATAACAACTAGCGACCCGCCCCGACTTTGCACGGATGCAATGTAGATAATGTGGGGCAGTGTGGAGTGATCATTGTGATTAAGATTTGTCTATATTACTGGATATCTTTGTATGCAATATTTACAGCGGTTTTTTTGATGAGACAATAAAGCGCGACACAACTGTAATTTTTAAAATATTTTTGGTAAATAATTCATAACTTTTTTGCAATGTACCTAAAAGATAAAAATTTGTTACTGTGGGTTGTCCGTCAGAGATAAACATATATCATCTCTGGCTTTTTTATCGATTTTTTTAAGATATACAATTATGTAATTCATCACTTTGATCTAATTCGTAAGGTTGAGCCAGCGTTTGCAATCTAAGCGCGCAAACATATGTTTGTTACGTCATCACTTTAGAAATCTATGAATTTCTCGTCTTTTATATACTAAAATATGCATTTATACTACATATAAACCTTCCTCTCGAATCCGTCTATCAATTCCTAAAACTGCATTAGAATCCGTTGCGTGAGTTCTATAAGTGAGTATATAATATAATAATGTAATTAAAATCTAAATAATAAGATTAAAATCTAAGCGTACAAATTGCGGGAACGACTTTGTTTTATACTATGTAAAGATAGAGATATAAATTGATTCGCCTTGAAACGGGACGAAATGGACGGCAGTGGTGAAACATTCCTTCGTACTGCAGAGTTGTGGGGCTTCGGCAAGTGTAAATGTCGAGGTTGTTCTGGTCTCGCTGCGTAATCTCCGACCGGTTGGCCCTAAGCCGGGCTGCAGCAGGGAGATTTGCTGCTGCCGAGGCGGTTGCGGGGCTTCGGGCTCGCGGGACTTTGGAGGATTGCCAATTGCGCACCATTGTGCCCTCGACTCCTCGCTGTTCTCAATGTTACCCGAGCGACGACGAACAACCCGCTCCAGTGTGGGGGATGTTCTATTATTACTTTTGCGCTTCACAAGCCGGTAGCGGTAGGGCATCTCCATACTTATTGTATGCGGCATGTCCATGGGTGTATGAGCTATTTCTTTGATGTTGCTTTCTATTTCGAGATAATTGAAGGAATTAGACCAAAAGTCGAACAGTATGTGCTTCTGATATTTTTTCTGAGTGTGGACGTTTGTTAATGTACAAGTTGTTGTGGCAAATTAAACATTTTTCGGTAATAAATAATTGCATGACATACAAATTTATTTTCTTCAATAGCGTAAACTGTAGTTCTCATCCTTTATTCTAACGCAATTGAAACTGTTTCCTACAACGGTTTTATATTTCTCGTCAAATAAACACAAAAAATACCTCTCCAACTTTTTATTCTCCTTTATTGGAAACGAAAGTAATATAACATCTTTTTGAAAAGAAACTTGTAGTGAAAGGGATCAAGTAAATGACTCAACTTTACGCTACGAATGCTCCGAATTCTTTTATCCATTCCAAAAAGGAAGGGCCGCCGCGGACCATAAAGACCCCACACTGGATTCTCATTCAAAGTTTCTCTTAGCATGATTTATATTACCGTTAAATAGCATGAAACAACTTGCGTTAAGTAATGCTTACATTCTATTTAAAACTAATGTACAGCTTTTCCGGAACTTGTTTATCGTCCACCACTTTTCCATCAACGGGTGATCTTGTTTGTATAGAGGTTTATCGTGGTAAAAGCCAATCACGCTCAGTGCCAAGGGACGAGTGGAAACGCTCCGGCGTGGGTGACGGGCGTCGGCGGCAGATGCGGCCGCGAACAAAGCGGCGCGGCCCTTCGGAAAACATAAAAATCGAGAGCGAGCGTAACGCGCAGTAGCTAACGCCATTAGAGTAAAAAATCCAATTAGGGTTGCGCCCGTGCATGACAATACAGGGCCCAGCACGCGGCGTTGCTCACGGCCGAGCGCTCCGTCTCCACGGCCATTATCGCAACTGCCGCGTGGAAAAATAACACGACGACGCCATTACCGCCCCCACGTTTTTGACGGGCGAACGACGTGTTCTGCGAGAGAGTTGATCTCCGCGCTGTCCATTGCCGCTCCGTACGACTGTTTGCGTTTTAGGACCTTATTAAAAGGAGGCTTCTGGGAATCAATCATGTACGTCTAGTTTTAATAATACAAGATACGTTTAATACAAATCATGTTTTCATCAACATCAATATTTTCGACCTTTACATCTTTTCTTTTCCAATAAAAGCTTAAAAGAACGGAAAGCATTTGACTACAAAAATAATTAAAGTCGGAGAAAATACAGGAAGCGAGGAATCATGGTAGAAGTTGGGGCTTTCAGAGGTCCCGTGCAATGGGAAAGTGACGGGCAAATATTAATAGGAACTTGACGATTCAGTCCGTTTTCCTATTACGCGCTGTCGGGCGCAGGTGACGTCGGTCGAGGCCGGGGGGCGACTCTAGTCGTTTCAATTGTCAAATATCACTTGCAGCAATCGTCAACGTTCGCTTTGTGGCTTTAATGTACCGAACGTAGTTAGTTAAAAAGGGTCCCCAGTAATTAATAATTGATAGCGTGTATAACATAACATACTATGGCCTGTGAGGTAAATTATCAATTTAACACAATTTCAAAATAATTTTACTATAAGTTGGACTGTTATATACACATTTCTGAAAACTTAAAATAACAAAGATAGCTTTGAAGGATAAAGTCTAACTCATTCTGAAATAAATAAAAGAAGCCCAACTGAATTTATGTCCATTCTACGCATTAATTCAGATTAGATTTATTGATGATTTATATATTTTACACATTATAGTAGTTAATACACAATCGACTAAACAACTGTTCAGTAACAAGAACAATTCATATGAATATACGATTATATGAATCTCATATCAGTACAGAGGAAATAAAATTTCGAGCCACTCCGAAACAATGGAATGTTGCCAACGGCGTGTTGAAAGGGTACATAACAATGGCGATTAGGAAATGTTAAATGAAAACACCGAAATATGTTTGAGGAGATGCGTCGTGCTTACAAAGTTCCACCTCCCGCGCCCTCCCGCGCCCTCCCGCGCCCTCCCGCGCCCTCTGCCGCCGCCTCGAGTCACGACTGTGGGCTTAACAGGGCTAATTGGTTTTTGAACAGCTTTTATGTGAGGCGCAAGTTTTTCAAAGTTATTACTTTTACGGTCTATTGGCTGAGCATTTCTTTTCGTTCGACTTATCCGGGTTCAATCTAACACAGATTACTAAAAATGAATGAGAATGTGTGTTCAATGTGTTCTCATTCATTTTTAATGTGGAGCTTATGACTATCGTCTTTCTCGACTTTATGGAAGAAAGCACACAGTTTTGAAATAGTATGAATAAAATAGCATACACAATAATATAAATAAAATAAAACAGCAGCCTATACTATATGTGACACAGCTGGGCAACACGCGTCCCCACTGCGGATTAGCAGACTTCACATATCTTTGAAATATCTTTTTCTATTATCGAGAAAATATGCAGTTTTCCTCACGATGTTTTCCTTCACCATAGAGAACGGACGGACACTGAGCGGACACTGAGCTATCACGGCTCATACATATGTATTGCCCTAAAGATGATATAGAATATATTTAACAATGATAACAGAACTCTGAACTTTAGTGAAATAAATATTTTTATTGGCATTCTTACTTGTGTTGTACCTACACCACCAGACGGTATAGGCACTAATCTAGGCAAGCCAGTTAAATTGTTGATTTAAATGTAGCTTGGATAGAACATTCACCCGAGTAAATTGAATGATACATTTGTTGAAGCCGTAACGTAGCTTCAAAGCAAAACGATCATTCGCAATGACGTAAAAAGAAGATTAAAGTAGAAATGTCTGGAGCGAGGCCCGAAGCCCGTGGCCTATATTGGGTGCGCGCTACACAGGCACACCACCGTGCACAGTGCACAGGCAAGTAGGGGACGTGAAAGGCCCCATTCAACGGCGAGCCGGAGCCACAATGGAAGCGCGACAGGTCGGCTCCTCAAACACTGCGCTAGGGGGGCGCTCGCCGCAATAACGCGGGATATTCCCGTCGACCCATTCAGCTTCTATTCAATCCTTACAATTCGATATATCAATTAGGTATGTATATCATGGAACTGGAAGAATAGAAAACGAACAAACATGCTCTCACCACAAGTCCTGTACAGAGATGGGTACTGCTAACCAAGCTAAAAGTTATTTAGAGCCTGTGTCACAGGTAGATCCGAGGCTAATCCAAAAAATAGAAAGCTCTTTGATCCATGTTTTGTTCCACGCTCGAGACGGAATATGTTCCTCTCCAAAATTCTACATTGAATAGTGTGCGGTTCGGCGTCTGCGCCCCATTGTTCCCTAACAATCGCTTAATCAACATAACCAGACGTAATCACCGACTCGTCGAAACTGCCATGAAATTATGCGCCGCGCGTTGCATTGATACGCGCTCCTTTCAAATGGCTCCCCATTCGGGCGGCTGGTGGGGCACAATGGAGTCGGACGTCACGTTCTGCGCCAACCCCGCTCAGTCACCGCGGACCGGCAATGGGGAGGAAAGAAAGCGACTCGACTCTTTTCTTTCGGACTGACGTGCCGCTTGAAGTGCTGCAGTTGCCGGTTACTCGTTACCGAGCTGCGTGACGGCACGATGAGAACCGCTCTCTGATCAGAGGGCGCAACTTCTCAGAGCTTGGCAACAGCTAGCTTTACTATCTATCTCCAACAATATAGACGAAAGTGACCAATTCCACCACAAATGCTAAGCAGAAAATTTTATTACGTAAAAGGCAAGAAATTTAAAACTTATTGGCGCAAGCAATTAGAATTAAACCTGCCATCCGAATATCATAAATCCGCTATCCCGTCAAAATGGGCCATTACAGTGTTCTTACCCCTAAGACAGTAGTAGTAAGGTTCGCGTGGCACGGGAGCCGTAGTGGGTGGTCGAGCAGCAGTTCCTGGTAAAATTACAATTAGTTCGTGTTAAATGCGCTGTAGGGAGAAACTATACAGCTGTCTATGATGATAAGATGAACACTCAAATAGCTCGTTGAATAAAAGTCTTTGAAAAATAACTCCCTAATAACTAAAACTAAAACTGTCCCCTACTACGTTCAGTGTAGTTTGAATGGAATCATCCTCCTAAATTCTCGTCTTTTCGAAACCTCTGCTTTCTTATTCTGACTAATTAAAATAGGAATTACAATCCTCCCAGGATGAAGGCCTGTTCACATTTTAATGATCCTTCGACTGCTACGTGTTACACTAAGGCTACTGACAAGTCCGCGGCTCCGCCGGTTATTTCGGTACCTATTCAAGGTTAGTTTACGTTTTATTTATGTACACGTGCACCTGTGTGTACCCACCGTGTTTGGGTTGGGGGCTGAACTTGTCCCTTCCACGGCCCCAACAACAAACTAAATTAATACAGACTACAAGTTTACACGTTTACGTATACCGCATAGTTTTTGTTGTTCTCACGGGATTGATATTATAATATAGTAGTTGCTCCTAGGAAATATATATGAGAGTGCTATAATAAAAAAAACAACAAGAAGTATATAGCGAAGGCGCTATCCAAAAAAAAATGCACTTGAAGTTGCATTAAGATTGATTACAGCAATTCATTTTATGCAAATTTCCTATGCGTGCATAATGTATGTGTTTTCGTATTATGCACAACCCCAGTATGATGAGGCAGTTGTGTGACAAAGGTCGCTTCGGCCGCAGGCCCTCGTCGGAAGCCGCTTGGGAGGTCGGCGCCCCAACCGTTCCCAGCGCAAATAACCCGCAAAGAAATGACGAAACAACTGTTGAGGCATTTCGTTCTTCAGCCAAGGGAGACCTAATGGATTACGTTTTATGTGCCTCCGCTAGATGCTATCAGCGTTCAATTTACTTAGCTCAGTTTAATTACGTCATAAGTCTCGGATGTGCCTACACCAATTACTGATGTTGAGTTACTCATGTTTCTCCAACTGTCTTCATAACTATATTTATGTACCTACTGTTTTCAGAAGTTGTTATAACGAATGCATTTGCAATATAACCTTGACATATTTCGGCGAAAACCTTAATGTGGAAGGATATACGCAAAACAATAATGTGTTGACGATCTTCGTATAATTTGTCTCAAAAACCAACGTCAAGCAGACAGTATGTACATTTCTCAATTGGTGGAGCATCAACAGTTTACGTTAAATTGAAAGACACGCTATGCATGGTGAATTTAACCGGAATTGTACATTTGTATACATGTTTAAAAGCAGAAGGGGTTATATTGAGGTCTTCTTGTTGGATGATGTTATTGTATTCACTTTTAGGAATATTTAAGGCCTTACGGACTCGATTTAAAGACGTTAATACATCACTGCCAATGCGACAGCCGTGAATATATTTACAGCAAAGATCTTACAGCTAAGTGTATAATGTGTATGATTTTGAATTTTGACAAGAAAATTAAATGTAATTCAAAAAGTCGTTAGATATGACTATGGACGACAATTAGCACAAAAGATACAGGGGATAAGTGATACCGTGGTTGATAATTTGGAATAACAATCATGTTATATACGTTATCACTCGGTTATTTTAAGAGATTTAATGCCTTGTTTGTTATGAAATCCTACTATGAAACCACTTTACTGTGTCTCTATACGAGTATTATATTCATAGCGTTATCTTCGGAGCATCTCAACAAATACCCTCAAAGGATCATAAAATACAATTAAAGATATTTTTGTGTATTGTTTCCAAGCGAACCGTTTCCGTCTAGCCTTGCTACATATCTCATTTTAAAAGTTCAGAAGTCTATCAATGTTGGCTTTCAATAAGAGGTATACACTATTTGAATAATGAGGATATACATAAGAGTCCTTTAAAGGTTTACGGCTTCGCGACAGAAACTTAACGTTATTGACATAGTCGTGGGTGGTGTTCAATTTTAATGTAAATGCTGCAGCAAAGGTGCCATTTGAGAGCACAGGGTGGCAGTGTCGGCTTGTGTAGAGCGGCCCTCAATGGGAGCGTTTGAACGTGCTCCTTTGATTGCGAGCCACACTAAACGCGCTCTGTAGTTACGGACACGGACGCGGGCTTGCGCACAGCGAAAGCGACCGTATGCATGCCATATAGGGGTTATATTTAATAGGCCACGGCGTCATGGTCCGAAGCCATCCTAGATAATGGGCAGTGCCGGTTGTTCGAAACGACTGGTGGCTGGTGGGAGATAAGAGGAGCCGTGACTAATGTGAAGATGACGGATGATTGCGGCGCAACGGGAGATAGGCGCTCGTTTGTGAGGGTCGGCGTCCTGCAAGGGGCACCGAGCCCACTCGAGAGCGCGTGTTGTGGCCGAGAGCGGCGCGAGAAGCTCAAATGAACGTATGAAACACTATGGTTTCGCTATGGCTTGGCTCAACATAAATTATGAAGTAAACAAAGAGAGGAAACTGGTTAATGTAAGACATCTTTTGATTTAGGAACGAAAACGGATGTAGTTCAAAATCCTAAACGAGTCCTCGGTCGCCTACATTTGTGTTCCTTCACAAACGAAACAGCGCTCGTATGAGGAAACGGATGGAGTCGAAACTAATAACATAAATTGCGTTCGCCCTTAGAGGCCGTGCACGTGAGCCGGGCTCCGTTTTTGTGTTACAGTGAACGCGGCCGTTTTTACGCGCGGATATATTATGGCAGGCGGCGCGCCTCGGGACGCCTCCCGGCCGATCCTGTGGAATTCTCGGCGTCGGCCCCTTTTTTTCGACGGCGGGCTCCTTGAAGATTGCACTGGCCTATTTTAGATACGACGCCATTGAAACCGAGCCTTGCTCGCTCGATTTCGCGTACACATCGATGGCTTTGAAACTTCTCTCCTCACAGTATCAATTTACCCCAATTCATTTCTTCCACCCTGCTATGAAATAGCATAACTTCTAACATTGTTTTCTTAAATATACTCAAATGTAATATTATTAATGACGTAATAAATTTCAGACCAATGAATCACTTTGATTTTAATACTGTTCAACGAGCAGTTTTTTTAAAACTAGTATACTTTTGTCTTACGGATCTTTATAGCATGTTATAGGTACATTTATTAGGTACCTATAAATAAGAACCGTACGCACTTGACCAGTAATTGTAGCTAGAAATCGATTAACAAGATCACGTCTAATGATATGTTTGCAATAAACAGATGATAATAGCTCCGATATGAGCTGTCCCCGTCACAGACTTAATGGTGGGGCTACACTTTGCGGGTCACACTCACACGCGTGCGGCGTGAGTGTTCGTACGTGAAGCTATTAGTCATTATAAAATAGTAGACGATTACGCTCGCCCGAGTCTCTTTTGTCTGAATACACGAACATCTGCTGAGCGTGTGATTTGCCGAAAACGATTTGCATGCATGGGAATTTATTATTACTCGTCGCAACAGTTAGTTAACACAATCTAATAGTTTCGGTTCGATGCAATTTTATTGCATTAAAAACAATCGATTAATATTTCGAAACTCAGTTTGAATAAAATGAAATATGGTACTATGACATTTTCTAATACAGCGTGAAAGGATTTTATGAATCCGGAATAATTACTTGTTAGCTCGATTTGTTACGCATGGGAGCCGAATCTACTACCCGTTTCGAAGCTATTGCCTATTTACTGCGTCGACTATATTATCTTTGGTAGCTGGTACCTCAGATTAAATAACGTACACCCGACGTTGCTCTACGCAACTTTACTAAAACGACCAGTGTGCAATTTATATTTAAATATAAAACAGATGTTGACACGCTAGTACTAAACGATTGTTCTCGAATTACTTATTATTTTATGTGTTACGGTGTTATTTAGATCGCGGTGCAAATTTGCATATTACACCCTTTTCACTCATCGTAGCCGACCATTATTACAGCCGATTACGACAAGTGAACGAAGTGTTTAAGACCAACAAGCGACTTCGTCTCTATTAAATTATAAACAGAGTCGCGTGGTTACATGGATTATGAATTATAAACATGAGTTTTCTTGTAACACTACGCAGTCTACCTTCTTACAGAGGTATAATCCTGCGGCTCTTTTATTTGAGGGATAAGTAAATTAAATTAAGCTACCTATATGTAATACATATTATGTACTTTCATAATCTCAAAGTGTTCGGCATTGCGAGTGGTTTATACTACACAGTGCTCTGTACATAATAACGTAACCGTCCCTGCAATGTAGAATCGTATTCCACAAGAGTGGGAATGCTTGAAAAAAGATAACAAAAATGAGCTCACACAATGTCAGCAGCAGTGGTTTCGTGGCAACAGGCGCTCCATAGTGGCAGAGCCTAGGCAGCTGCTCAGCGCTCGTGAAATATGACTCGGCCGAAAGTTATTTATTGCGTTTTTTGGTGGAAAATAACGCTTCTCGCGACGAGCCGCACCTCTGCGCACCAACACGCCACCCTTTGATGTTTAGGGCTGACGCTACTGCTCCGTAATAGAGTACACTCCTTTTCTCAACGCAAACCACCCAATTAAAAAGTATAAGCGCACGATATTTGGGGGAAAGTGTAGATAATTCATATGAGGTAAATTTTAGGAATTATTATTATTGAAGGGCTATACTATCTATATAAATACGTTATAAAACATCATATACACTAATAATAATGACATAAATATACCACCATAGATTTCGGTGATTACAAAGTAAATTGCCGTTTCAATATGCAATAACATACGCCTGTGTTGCAAGTGAAAATATTCACTAAAAGAATACTTGATCCAGGCAATTACAAATACTGGTCCGTTTTGAGAATCGAACCCACCCATGTCTCTCGGCGCCCAAGCGACTGCGCCAACAGAGCCACTGGGGGGCTTAGTATCGCACATGGGAGTTTATTGCGAGCGGTTTTGTGCGCGTTCGCAACGCATTAAAGCCGCCGATGGTATCTGGCACCCAGCCCTGGGCGCTCCACGTGATGCCAACAAAGGGCGCGCCGCTCCTATTACTCAATTGCTTGCTTTATTTATTTATTTTTTTGCGAAATCCCGGCAACGGCGCACAATGCGTCATTAGTCGTCCCCGCTTGGGCTTCCTGTTAACTAATTTCGCCCCGGATAGTTACCTTTTGGATAAAATTATAAATATACCTATATTATACAGTTACAGATGAATGGTCTTATTAAGCTTACTTCTACATGTGAAATTATAATGCACAATTAAAGAAAAGTTCATTAATTATTGAAGTCCGAAAATAACGTTTTACGCTGTTTCAAATTACTACATTATATAATACAAAGTCGTCCCGCTGTTTGTCTGTCCCTATATACGCTTAGATCTTTAAAAATACGCAGCAGATTATGATGTGGGTTTCCTTAATAGATAGATTAACTCAAGAGGAAGGTTTATATGTATAATTCATGCATAATATAGTGGAGAAACACTGATAATTTAGAGGTTTCTAATGCGATGTCGAAAACAAACATTTAGCATTGCATCCGTGCGAAGCCGGGGCGGGTCGCTAGTCTAGTATAATTAGATATTCCGAAGCGGCCGCGTGAGACGGTGACTTAGCAAACGGTGGGCTCCATTGCACGGGAACACGAGGACGCTTTGTGCGTTCGATCCCGGGGCGGACGTGCGTTGGGCCCGAGTAATTGGGAGCGGACCGCTTACCGCTTGTCATGGAATTATCCTTTCATGTGCAGCGCCCGGACACCCCCCCCCCCCCCCCCCCCCCCCGCTCGCCCGCCACGCTTGTTCCGCTGCGAATTCCTTTGAAACTTTAATTAAACCAAAGTGCTGCCACGATAGCATACTAATAGTTCTTTTAACTACCACTACATAGTACAAAACAAAGCCGTCCCGCTGTCTGCTTAGATCTTTAAAACAACGCAACGGATCTTGATGCGGTTTTTTTACTAGTGATGATTCAAGGAAGGTTATGTATAATACATTGCACCCGTGCGAAGCCGAGGCGGGTCGCTAGTACATTATGTGTTAAAAGATTCTCCTCAATTCACAGTTATTTTATGTATTTTCGCTTTCTACAGTAAGAAGAATTCAGAAGAATTCTTTATGCGAATTCCGTGTTGATTACCGGAATAAGGCACCATGAAGAGAAACACTAAAACACTGCTACTAATTTACTTTAAGTATTAATTTAGTGTTCGCGAGAAAACAAAGTCTCGAGTGCAAAGGAAACGTAAATAGACGTTCATGTTCGTTCCAATTTCGCCCGACGCGGCCGACCCAACTCCCGTGGCTTAATTATTATGTCATGAACAATGAGAGATCGGCATCGCGCGCCGGTCGCCCGCGACGCCAAGAGGAGGCGACTAAACGATGGCGCGACTAGCTAAACTAGACACAAACATCGCCACTAGGGCCGATTTTACGGCGGACAATTAAAAGGTCCAATATCGCGCAGTAAACGATTCATAAACGGGGAGTATTTGTTGTTTCGGCAGCAGCGATTCCACGTAGGACCCCATAGCCGGCCCTCGGCCATAACAACCGCCATTCGTTTCCGCGCGCCTCGGACTATCTGTTTGTTGTTTTTATCTGTGCCTCCATTAAGTTACGCGCCGCAGCAATGTTTATGTGGAAATGCTTCCTTTGTTTATGCCCTCGTAAAGTTTGTTTTTATGTCCCGCGAGCTCATATTGCGAGATTTAATATTGGAAGAGCGTTTCGTGCGTCCGTTTGCACGATTGTGCGCGCGGCTAGGAGAGACGCTCGCGGGCTGTGGGGTGGGGACAATTACGCCAGATATTTACGGCGCGATCGTGATACGAGTGGTGGCGAATGACGAAGAGCCGCAACCGCACAAGTGAAGTAATGAAATTGGCTCAGCCATTCCGACGCGAAACGAACGCAGGGAAGCGATCGCTACACGTTTATTTTTCTTTTCATATTAAAAGATCTGCAGGCAATTCTTTGCAATGCTCTTGCAATATGTGCACAAAACTATTTATTATAGTTTTGTAATTGTCTATTATTGTACAATTATTATATTTGTATTCCACAATACAGAAACGGAATTTAAAAACAGCTAACAATAAAAATAATTTTATCTTAATAAGTGAAAGTCTTGTTATAGTGCCTACGAAATACTGTTAAATTAATTCAAATACTTCTTAATGGTTAAATGGTTTGCTGAATGGCTGAGAGGCTTGTTTCCAAATCACCACGCCTCTTTAGTAACCAAACACTCGTCTACGATTTCGATCGTTTAGCGTTGCCACGAATGTATTAGCAACTTCATTGGCCTCGGCGCAAAGGTCGCGGATTAACTCCGCACAAAACAAGCATTAGTATCTTCCGTGTAAACATTAATTGCCGATTTGACTATTCTTTTAACATCTTGTATTTTAAATAATAATCGGCCATAGCCTGATGTTTATTAACATAATTTTTATTACCCGAATTACCTTTAAATGAGTCAGATATAAGCAATTTCAGCCATGTACCAGTTCTGGCGCAGTAGGGAGGCAAACTAGACAACTTGTATATAATTATAGCGTTATGTTCATGTAACATGTGTGTGTTACGCTATAAACAGAGTTAACGAGAAATTCACGAAAATTATACCAGATAAGTTGTTTTATGCTAATAACGACTTTATTTTTCGATCAAAAATTATGTAATTGCGTTCTTATACGGGATATTTTAATTTACACAAACAATTAGTACTTCAAAAATATGATTTACATTTTTCATTAGGTGTTTGTCTAACTTCCCGCCTGAGGGATAACGAACGAGTGGTAAGAATGGTGAACGCACATATACATCATTTTGCCAGTACACATTATCTTCCCGTCGTAATCTTACGAAGGGGAGGAGGCCGCAAAATTGTTAAACTCTTTTGCCGGATACCTTATGAACGTAGAAGCGAACCTCTTCATACGAATCCCCCCGAATTGTTGATAACAAAAGGAAGGGGGCTCACTGAAACGCACGTCCTCGCTATCGAAAATGTCCATTATCAACTTATACCAGACAGCGTTAAGAGAACTTTAAGAGTAGGCGAGAGCAGTCAGGTAGGCGAGCGAGCGCTATCAAATGTAAACTTCATCGTTGAGTCGGCGCAAACACTATGTGGAACAAAGCACCACAAAGGAACAAACAGTCACTGCGTAGAATATCGTTCGAGGTACATTGTAACTGCGAATTACGCATTCGTATCATTCTAAAATGCGTTTGTAGCGAATGGAGGAGTGGAGTTTTGAGACCGTATTGTTTATTTCCTTAGCGCGATACCTTTATTGTTACGCAGTGTGCATTCCGCTGCGCCCTGGAATCCCTACTGAGGCAAACCATACCATCGCATATAGCGCTATGGTTTAAGCAGCATGTGGTAAGGTCAATAAGGAGACGATTTCATATTCATTGACAAGCATAATTCTGATTTCATACTCCATAAAGCAATTTCAGTTGAGAATGTATACAATATAATACACACGAATAAAGTAGAAGATTATTTTGTAGTTAAGGCTCTTTTGTGTGAAGAAAACATAAAATGTGGAAATCCGTTATCAGCTGTCTTTTAAAAAGAGCAAACTTTCAGTTTGAGAAGATTTATCTCCGCCCGTAGCAGTGTCGAAAGTGGAACCTAATAGAATATTGCAACTTTATCGGGCACACGTACGTACGGGCGACTCCGAAAACGGAGATAGGTTCGCGAGCAGACTGCACAGTGTGCATTTCGATATTGCAAATTGCCGTCGTTTCTTAACATTGCGACCGATCTATAAAGTAGAGGTAAGGCAAGCAACAATTGCGTCGGATGGACCGCAGTTCCCTCCATAATTCATCCACAGAGTTTTTGCTCCGAGCCGTATTGGTTCATATCTTCGGTTTCCATTATGCCTTAAAGAGCCGTTAGAGCGAGAGATATGGCCAGAGCTCGGAGGGTTAACGGCCGAGGCGGGTGCGCACCGCCCCTTACTGATACCAACTAACTCCACAAACAAATTGGTCCTATCTTCGAATAGGATCTTCTAATCTCGACAGCTTATTGTAAAATATCCGTAGGGAACGTCAATTTGACTAAGCGCTTGATAATTAGAATCGAGATTTTATTTTATACATGTAACTGAAATTCGTAAATATTTTATCGTTAATTACTTATTTTTAAACGTTATTCGTATTGTAGGATAAGAATATCCAGTGCTGCAAGAACGTTTTACGTACAAAAACTTCATTGGAACAAACAGATTCAGGAATTTCTACTACCTGTGGGTCACAAAAAACATGTGGGAATCAAACCCACCACCCCTAGCATCAAAGCTGCGACATCTAGTCACCTAACAGCATATTTACAGATAATACGTTGTTGAGTGAATAAAATTAGAAAGTGTATCATTGTGTAGTTTGAATTGCTCGCTACACACGATGACGAGGGTTCTTATTTATATAGATATGACACGTAGGAACAGGAAACCCTTACGGTGCATATAACATTGTTTTCAAGTTACATTATAATGCACCATTACATGCAGATTTAGGTGATAATTTTCTTATTTAATTACAAGTAAAAGAACTTCAGAGCGCGAGCGTACGGCATGAAAACTTGAGCATAAACCATTAGGCTGTTTATGAGTAATTCTAAGCAAGTAAATTTGTTATCACTGGCAACATTCAAGTCGTTAATCTGCCAACACCTGGTGAATGTTCGGTCCAACTTCGGCCGCCGCCGCTCCCCGTACGCGCGACACTTAAATGCCCTAATGGCCCAGCATTAAGGCGCTCTATGAGACTATAAAAGAAAAATAATTTCGCCATAATCCTCTTAGCCATTAGCCAGTTGCGCTCACAGTTGCGCTGCAGCGCACAACTTATATAGTACAAGCATTTTTGCGTCCGTGTATGTAATACAATCCATATATTATAATGTTCCATTTGTCATCGAATTAATGACCCATCGAAAATGTTCTCTCTTCTTAGGTCGTGGAAATAAAGGAATTTTTCGTTTTGCAATTCATAGAGATCTTATTTTATATGAAAGAAACGTAATTGCGCAAAAACTTAAATGTCTTTTCTCTATTCTACAAAATTTCGAGTCTCATAAATCCTAAATCGGGACTTTGTGTCTGTGTCATTTGATCTAGAGACTTTGAAATGAAGATTAATGCAAACAAAACGTAGTTTTTGCCTTTCCAACGAATAGACACATAGTAAATTACATTTTTTGCCCGTTACAATGTCAAAAGGAGGATCCAAAACGCGAGGCGTATTGTGTTTGAATGTATGAAAGGTGCAGTTTTACAATGGAAACGGTAAGTAGAATCGTTCGACAAGGCATTAAGACGTGTACGGCGATATGATGCGTAGCCCCTTCGCTATTGCGGTGATAGTTGCGTGTAGTGGCAATCTGTTAGGGCCTTTACGAATCGGACACGAGGTTGCCTGAATCGATATTTGAATTCTTTTGTGGGCCGAGGAGCGGCCGGCGGAGGCACGAACAAGTTTGCAAATACTTATCGGTGGAGGGCCGCATCTGCGCGCCGCCGCCGGCCGCGAGGGACGTGCCGGCCTGATTGTTTCCGAACATAATGGGGCGAGATAAGGCGAGCCTAGGCAGGTCGCGGCTCAAGGCTCGCGGGTCCGCACACGGCCGCACACCGCTCCGCTGCGCCGCTCCGCGCCCACGCACTAGGCGCTGTTGTTGGCGGGCGCATTATCTTCCTTCTGAATAACGATCTAGGAGCCTCCACAGCGTTCCACTTCTACGTCCCCCACTCCCCAGCCCCGTATTCGCTCCACCAATGCCGACTGAAATGTTGAGAAGAGTTATATATTTCATCCGGTGATCATAATAAGAAAATATTAATAAAACACGTTCGAAATACCTTAGCTAAGAAGTGCTTAGCTGACCATATCTTTAATGATCATGTCGTCTGGTTTTAAAAGTTATCTAAATGCACTTAAAATGGAAATGTAGTGCAAGTAGACTTAGAAAGAAAGAACAGTACTCCGTCATGTAAGAATCTTCAGTTCAATAGATAAATTTTTAAATGGTCCATTGCCAAAAATGGGATGCGAAATATCGATAAACCATTAAGTTATCCTTTATTTCAACAATTTGTACGTTTAGGAAGAAAACCACAAATTCTTTAATAAAACAATAATTGAAGTACGGAACCCTTCGTGCGAGTCTCGCGCTCTTAGCGGTAGCGGTTGATCGGTTGTTTTATCTTTTTGCTTTTGACGATTGTGTGATAGCACCATTGTGTGATCAATAATATCAAGCCACTGAAGTCTATATTATTATGGCAATAACATCAATATAATTATTTAACAATTTAGGAATGTTACTTGCATGTCGAAATCACGGTTTTTATCAAGTAACAAAATTTTCTTTCATCAATTTTATGAACCACCCAGAAACAGTTTCTGGCCCTACAATGGGCTCAAGTTTCTTTTCAGAGTGGTTCATCTTATCATTGTAAACAAAAATGCGTCTTCTAAATTTATCTTTTTTCGTGTTATTTTTCCAAACTTAAAACTCTCATACGTCATAAGATCTTACGATATTGTTTTGATTGTGTTAAATACTTCCAATCATCAATACTGTATTTAAGGCATAAGATTTTATTGAGATTATATAAAAATAATCTTCAGAGAATTGGCACATGGCACGTGTATAACGCATGGCTTTTAAATGAATATTAAACGATGTAGTTACTGTACAGGTTTCCGTGTGAAGCAGGCCCACTGAACGCGGCCGATTTCTTTCACTAATGCCCCGAGGTGGCCATTTGCATAATGAAGCAATTTATTATGTTCAAGATAAGATACAAAATTGGGAAAATTACTCACGCTATGGGTTTTCGAGGGCAATGCGTATTTGCAGTTTATTGACACTCCATATTAAACGGCTGCTCAATAAAAGAAAATCTTCGTGATACAGCATCGAAAGGTTTTGCCGTCAAATGTAATCCGGCAACGAAATGGCAATGGGTTGGTTACTTCAACCATTCTGGTGTTAACGTACTGTTTGTTGTTTAAGACTTGTTGTCTTTCATTAAATTAAACTAAAATACATGAAAAACTAGAACTTGACCATCGAAGTTTTAAACAATTTCATTAAATTACATTTATTATAAACTCATTCTTGCATATGTACTTTCAGGCTGATACTGGTGACCTCCATAACGAGTTTACTAGGCTAAATTCCAACTTGAGCATTATTTATAACTGGTTGACGCGTTGTGGAATATCTGTTAACCCCAATATGTGCCAAGAGATGCTCGTCACTAAAGTTGATGTCGCAAGGCTGTCTGTTATCCACTACAATAACAAACCTATTCCGTTCACAACACTATGAACTTGGGAGTACAAGTAAAGCTTACGAACTCTTTATAGTCTGAAGAATTTTCGCCCTTTCAAGATAAATCCTCTTAGTTGTACAGACGCTCATTCTACCAATAATTGACTACGTGGCTGTTTGTTACCCACACTTAAAGAAATGATTTCAACAAGCTAAGAGAATCTATTCAAGAACCGCATTAGGTATACTTTTGACCTTCGTAAATATGACCATGTTACTCCCCATCGCAGTCGTCTTATATGGCTTACAGTTAAACCAAGGCGTAACTTTAGAATTTTTTTGGACTTTAGAAGATTCAGCTTCTCCATCTTACCTTAAAGATAAATTTAATGTTTATTATGGTACTGTACTATAATTACTGTATTTTAAATACAAATACAAGTGCACAAACATAAATTTTGGGAAAGTACAAAATGACAAAATGAAAATACAATTTTCAATGATGATGGTAGAATTTCGATGACTTGGCAAATATAAAATTAAATAAAGACGAGCAAGAAAATAAGTCACAACTCATCTCTAACCAATAAAAAATTCTTTTCAACATCATCGCCATGCTACTCGTATATAGTTAGTACTGGAGATTTCTGTCTATCAGGGAATCGAATTAAAAGGCAATTCGTTAATTTCATCTTGTAACGTGGAACAAAGAGAGATTTACAATTCGAATAGCTCTCGTACGCAAATCGGAGGAGACGTCCGTGCGACGGGAGGGCGCCGGGAGATCGGCATCGTGTGACCCAGTTTATCAATTAGCCTCCAATCGTTATCATAAATTTGTATCGCTCCTCACAGGGCGCGAACGAACAGCGTCAAATCGCTTAATATTAATGACTTGTATGTCCCTCGGCCTACTTAGGCCGCGGGTGTCGCCATGACATGTTAAGTACCTACAGTCTCAAGCACAAACATCAACAACAAGATACAAGTTGATACACACACAAATACGACGTAACACGCACCACGAAGACACGATGGATGTTGTAATTTATGGCGTTCAAACGCCAAATCCATCTTCATACACGGAACTAACGTGTTAGTCGTTTCGATTTCATAGTTGATCCAGGCTGCTATCGGTATTATCTTGGCTAAAGACTTTATATAGTGGAGCGTCTGTAGGATTGGAAGTTTTAATTTAAATTAAACATATTAAATCCGAAAAAATTATAATTACATAAATAAGAAGATATATGCCATAAGAACATGTAAAACATTTGTAGTAACAAAATACAAAGCCGACTTCAAATATCTTACTCATAATTCGCTAGCAATTTTATTTCGTGGAGTGTGTGCGGGACACATCAGTACCTGTCTCCGTAAAATCGGTTAAAAAAAAGAAATTGCTTTATAATCGGCAGAACTCCTTTAATTTAAGTTTACTCACTAACTACGTACTAAAAATGAAGCCAGACATAAATTGAAGCAAGGAAAAATTAAAGACTCGAAACCCGGAAACATCATCAATCGAGATTACGAGGGTGCTTACAATTCGGGAATTCCGGAGCAGAACATTGGTAACTGAGACGCGTTTTTGTTGTCAAAACAGCTCTTGAAGCTACTGTTAAATGATTTCAGATCTATTTTTACGAAGCTGAAGGGAAGTATGAAAATACAGCATTGTATTGAAACGGGGCTGCGTCACAAATTTCAACCTACTTTAAACACAAAATACAGCGTTTTCATTGTAGTCAAACAGCTATTCAAATGTAAATGTGTAATAACCCACCCGTGTGTGCACGCAGAGATGTGCATTGCATGTTTTCTATCAATTCTATCGAATTCACCCATTTCGATCCTTGGACTTATAATTTAAAGAACAATTAGAATGTTCCTGTGATTTTAAATGAATATTTTAAATGAAAATATATGTTTGTTTGTTTTTATTTCATATAGATATTTAGGTGAGATAAAGAATCATTATGTGTGATGGTTATAGAGTTTTAATCAGAAAAAAGTACGGATCTTGAGCACAGTTTTATATAGCAAGCTCGGTGATTATTTGACTTAACTATGGTAGGGCAAGGCAACAGTTCGCTCTTGCACGAATTGACCGGTCCGGAGAAGTACCAAGACCTCACAAAATTCCGGCGTAAAGTGGAAGTGTGGAAGAAGTGGAAGTGTATACTTCTGCGTTTCGTCTGATAAGTTAGGGGCCCACTTTGTTAAAAGGTGGCAAAGCATCTGCAACCCTACGGGTGTTGCAAATGTCGGTGGGCGGACATAAGTTGAACCGTCAGCTCGCTTGCCATATTTTCACATATTAAAAGAGATTTTTAAGGTCAATTTAAAAGTGGTAGATGGTAGGCTATTTGGCCTCAATCTACTTTTTGAAATTCAATTTTAATATTTACTGCTACAACAGTAGTAGCAACTAGCAACTGTAGTGGAGCGCCCTCGGGCCGTATCTCGGCCGGACATTCGCCGTGAGATAATAATTCCTCCTCGGCCGCCTCGTGGCCCTCTCGGGGAAATTAAAAGTCGCACGGGCACGGAGCAGCGGCTGCGACAATGGCGGCCTCCAGATATGCATCGCGCAGACGAGGGGTGCTAAGGAACGGGTTCCCAGTTCCTTACAAAGGGTAGATAAAGAGCTCCAGGGAAGCGGACGCCACTTTCCTCGAGCGCTGAAATAACATTTGTGTTGCGTAAATAGATATTATTTCGCGACGGCGCCCCGGAGCATACATATCTCTTTATATAATATATATAATTCTTCTGTGCATGTGTATGTCACTGAACTGTTCCTAAACGGCTGGATCGATTTTAATTAAATTTCTTCGAGAATGGTTTAGATTCACAATTCGGTTGACTACAATTTTTTTATTTTTTTTATTTATATGTTGTTGTCGGGTTTAAGTGGTGAGTACAGGCATCGTCTGTCGGGTCCGCTAGTCATGTATATGTATGTGTGTCACGTGCTCAACGGATGAGTGAACGCGCTAGGTATTTGGAAATTCCAAACTGGAATTAACCAATTCGATATTTCGGTTAGGGGTCGGTCGGTGTACCGTTTACTTTCAGTTAGAAACTAAGATCTGACCCAGGTGTTGGCGCAACGTCTTCGCAACACGAAGAAGTCTCAGCGTAATATATATAATAATATAAGGGGGATAATTTAAAGCGATTTTACGTAAACGTAACAGAACACCCAGGCAACGGGTGCGATGTAACCAAGGGGACGTGATGGATAAGCTCGATTTATATCAGGGCATTATCATAACATCCGCACTCTCGCGGCGGAGTCTCGTGCGTATATCATTCGCCAAATCCTCCTCGGGCAGTGGAAGGCGCACATAAGTCGGGCATCTTTATTGATCCCCCCTTGCACCACCCCACACCCCCCCCCCCCCCCCCCCACCCCTTGCCCCCTTACCTCTGGGACGTCGGGCTCACAAATCCGATTGACCCTTTTCATTTCCGCTCCCACTTATTTCTATTTATCTTTAGGGCTGGCACGCCGGAGCCGGCGCGGGGCGCCCCGCGTGTCGCGACACGATTGTGCGCCAACGCCAAGGCAGCGCCTTTGTGTGCTTTAAACGCAGCGGAATACTTTTTTTACACTCCGCCGGCAGCGCGGAGCGAATCCGCTGCAACAATAGCGAGGGCTCCAGTTTCCGTCAAATAAACAGTTATTTATCGCTGCCCTAGTCGTTCCCGAAACTAAATCGGCGTGCAATTATTACACAAAAAGCCGCCCCGAATGGCAGATTAAAGCTTTTTCGCAACAATCCTACAAAATGCATGCTCGCTTTTTTACTGTTGCAAAGATTAATGTTTCAAGTTGAAACATCTGGGGACATGTGATTATTCATTTCTATAACGTTGCAGTATAATGCTACGTTCAAATATAATCGTGACATAATATGTTCCCTAAAAATAGTCGGAGGGTTAAGAATATTTCGTCCGGGCTTATTTTATATTTGGCGAAAATCTTCGTTACCACAACAGTATCAAGCGAATTGTATGTTAATAATATTTTTTTCTTTAAAACAGAGTTACCTAATCTGCAACATAACATTGTTATGTATTGCGAGAGTTTTTTAGTAATACAACTTTAATATTGTCTTCATCTACATCACCGTGCTCCAGGACAATTATCAGAAGACCAAAGCGAGCAAAGTAACCCGGGTGGGTATTGAACCTACCACTTTGTCCGTCAAGGTCTTAGCAACTGCGCCATAAAATGACTTAGCCATGACAACAAGAGATTAAGCATTCTTGGCCTTATTGATATACATACAGATCGGTTATAAGTTTTATCGTAATGATTTCAATACCAGATATTATATGAAATTTTGTTGTTCATGAAATATTGCAATGCTTTATGTACTTTATAAACTTCCGTTGATTTTCAAATAATTACGTTATTATCGTCGAACTGAGAGACGGATGCGAATGCTAGTTGGGAGCGCTAAAAGAATCTTCATTTGACGGTCGACACTTGGGCGAGCGACAGTTTGAAGTGGGGCTACCGTGGGGAATTCGGGCGACGAAGTCGTTGGAATTACGACGCGTCTCGGACGGTATGCCATTAACGCCGGCCATTACCGACGCCAGTTGCCAGTTGCCAGTTGCCAGGCGCCTCGTGACGCGCGCCTCGCTACTTATCATTATCGCTGTGCTGCCCACAGGTGACGCGCCATGTCAAAGAAGATGACGCGCATTAGTAAGTACGGGCGTCCTGGTTACACCGTATGCGAGCAAGAGCCCGCCCGAGGCCATATACCCGAACCATTTCCAATCCATTGGGATGGAAAATGGTTTCGATCCGATTGGCATAGTGGATAGTGGACCTGTTTCTTGCGCTAGAAAGTGTGGGTTCGATTCCCACTACTGGAAAAATATTGTGTGATGAACAGTGTTTTACTAATGTCTGGTTGTTTACACATCTATAACACGTATTTGTTTAATAAGCATGTTCAAATATGTTTATCAGTTACCAAGTTTCCATAGTACAAGCTTCACATAGTTTCAAACTAGATAAAGTTGTGAAAAAGTATACCCTGAAAAAATATTTATTTATTATACTTAAATATATTCACACAAATTCACCATAATATATCAAATATCTTTACCAGAGGTCAGAGGCTCGACCGTTTTTCCAAATCCAAAAAACAACAATACATTATGGTATCAGAGATATCGTCATGAGATAATATATCAATAATGTAATAATGTTTCAATTAATGACAGTTCCTAGCAATGCATTTCTATTGGACCTATGAAGTCAATGTCAGTTGATCTTGGTTGTATTTTTAACTGACTTCAAAAGATGGTTCTCTATTCGATTGGTATATTTTTTGATAAAACAAATGTAATGTTTTTATTATGTAGGTACTCTTTAATTATAGAGTACGTAATAAAGTGTTACATTTAATACAGTAAATTTGTTTTTAAAATTGACTAACAAATAACAATATAAACTACATTTATTATTACAAACATTATTACAAACATTGTCAAAAATCTTTCACTTTATCCTCTTCACTGATATGGCAGATCCGCTGATTAATTAACCCATTGCCTGTCGTGATGGGTTGTAAGGAATAAAATACATAGGCTACAATTGTAATAATTTAATTTAATCATGGTACATTCAACGAAGCGAACATCTAAACGAAGAAATAAACTGAATTTTGCCTTTATTTGGATTGTGGAGAGTAATCTCTAGAATAACAACACTTATTATAAAAAAATATTGCGCACTTCGAAAGGTGCATTATTTAAATGGACAGGCCAAATATCATAAAAATATGCGTGTAAATGCCTTTATACACGCAGTATAGTTAACGAAGTAGAAAAACTACCTGCAAAAGCCAAGCGTGGGCGCGTCTCTATATTATAGGATAGAATTATTCATCATAGATAATGAAAATGAGCATACTTTTACGATGTGATGATATCAATTGCATAGCTCCGTTGTTAATACATGCCTAATTATTATTGACACCAACATTACCACTGACGGTTTATCTGTCTAATCTGTTGGTACCTAATAAACAGAGTATGGTGGCGTGTTTCGATGGATAAAATCACCCTAGATGTGAAAACCGGCAATGTCAAATAATGAGCTAAGCCGAAAATTGAGCCTACTTTAAAACCGAACCCGAATTCAAAGGAAAACGGACAGGAAGCTATAACAAAATATAGACGGGTATGGCCGTAGCGTGGGTACCGAGTAGTGACAGACGTATGTGGAGCTAATGGACTGCAAATAACTACAAAGACGCCCACGCTCCCTTTGACAGCCCCACGCGACCCGAATAGTGGCGGGAGAGCTCTCGTCGCGAGAGCCGTTTGGCCGATGAAAGCGCAGGGGCCATTTGTCTCAGGCGTTTCTACGCGGCGCTTTATCGCCGTTCCGCGGCCTAAAGCGAATGCAGATTGATTCGCCAGCCTTTTAAAAACATCGCAAACGAAAGCGTAGGCAGGGCGGGCAACGCGCACTTGCTACTTTCGAGCGATGTTTACACGTGGCGGGTTCCTTGCGATTGCCGGACGACCTCCCGGGAGTTTCTTAATTTGGACGCAGCGGAAAGTTCCCGCGCCATAGGATCGAACCCAAATCTGCTCCACTTGGTATATCGTTAGTGACATTTTGTGGATTGCCTGCACCCGGCTCGTGTTTCCGACAACGTTGTCATAATTAGTTATAAATCTGATACGGCTTCGAACGTTTCTGGGGTTCTCAACTCTCTTGGACCGTTAACAATTGGTCGTTATTTTAATTAAACAAAGAGATGTTAGCTTTTCAACTTAAAAGCTATTTTATGTAGAAGAAGTACAAACGCGCTTTTAAACTTGGTCTTGTGTTAAAATACATCATGAAGATATGTATATAATGTCAACAACAACTGTAATCCACACAGAGCCGCATTATTTGGAAAAGTTAAAACGGTTAAACTGACAATGTATTTATCGGGTACTAGTGTTTTCTCTAAAACCCCCCAGTAAGCTTTCGTAATGGGCTCGTTGAAAAGGATTCGCGTATGGTGGCGAGTGGATCTAAGCCGTCTCCGAGTGTTAGGGGACCTCGGCCTCAAGGCACAATGGGCTCTAGCGCTTAGACTAACACGAGCTCCCAAGGCGCGGTGTCCGATGTGTACAGATTAAACAGCGGTGACGGTGACGGCGACGGCGACCTCCCGCCGAGCGGGGCCGCCCCACGGCGCGCAACGCTCCGTCCGCCGCCTCGCAACTCTCGCCCCTAACAACGCCCGAACCGATCTCTCCACTCTCGCACACCGCTAATGTGCTTGACGCAAATTAAACTTCTCCCATGTTACATTGTGCCCGAGAGCCCGAGCCCCGCTGGAGTCCATTAAAACGAGATTATTACACGATCCACAGTTAGGGTCCTCACATTGGAGCATTTGCTTTTCCGCTACTCTGTGCGTCTGCACAACTTTCCAAGCAAAAATAATTTGAAACGAATTAAAAGAAAACTTTTTTACCGTCATCAAAATAATTCCACGATTTTCATTCCATCACTGTCGCTTAACGCGTAATATGATAATATGAAACACAGTAAAATAATTCCCGAATCCGTTTATTTGTCATGACGCAAATAAATAATCAGCTTCTTGGGAAAAATAAATGCGAAAAGGAAACATTAAACTTGTCTGGTTCTACTTTAAACAAATTAAAATATACTAAAGTATTTTATCATGGAAGCTGTTTTTTTCATTCGTTGAAACATCGGATTTCCTCGTATTCGATGAAATAATAAAATAAATGGAGAACTACGACCGTTTATCCGAAGGTCCGGTGATAATTAAGAACAACAGTAGGTTACTTGTTCCCCAGGAATGTCTAAAAAATGTTAACAAGGGCCTACTCCGCCTCGGGGGATGATCGCTAAATAAAAGAAAGCTAAAAAGTACTCGCGTTCGCCTCTTATCTTTTATCTTCACTTTATTACCTGCAGTTAAACAGGCCTTAATTACGAATCTACGCGAACGCCGTCCTTACAATAAAATAATAACGTTAGCATTCGCTTTTGAAGAATAGACGAACGGTACACTGTATGGAACAAATTAACCTTTGTTTCTTTACTATAATACTGTTTGTCTATAGAAGATAATAAATAGTTTTATGTTTTGTATCGCTGCTAGGAATCGTCATCTCGCATACAGAAACGAACATGACGAAGTATGTGTCAAGTATCTGTGTTTGAAACTTACGAAGGTATAAAGATAAAATTAATTTGTGGATAAATGTGATGGGATGGTTACGAATTGCCGCCTCTTTTAGCCCCAGCGGAGGAGAAAGAGAAACGCGACTCTTGAAACGTGACAGATGGGGAGTCGCGTGAGGTACATAATTATAATATATCGGACGCGTACGTGAGGTGCAGATGCAAAAGATATCTCGGTGATTATATTACTCTATCAGTACGTTACATTTTTTTCTCTAGTGATTTATCGACATTATTTGCCACGCAATCGATGTCGTTTTGATAACAAATCATAGGTTATGTGTTAGTAATAGTCTCCAGCACAACATGGCACGAGTATCCTTTGCTAAAACCCTTTATAATTTATTAGGCAACTATTGAACATTGGCAAATATAATTTTATTTCATTAGAGATGATAGATTAAGATATTGTTTGATTCAATGACATCCAATTGCTCTGTAATATTTGTATAACGACAAGCAAGGGCCACAGCTGCGAAGAATACAATAAGAGATTGGACCGCGGCCTCATTCGTCGTCATTAGTCGTGAAAACAAAGTGGGCCATTCTTGGGTGGCTGCTAGCGGCGGCTGTATCTCTAATGGCTCGGCCGCGCTCGTGTATTTAGACGGCGGTTTGGCGGAAAGGCCCTAACAACCATTAAATATTGATGTAGGAATTAGAAACACAAACATCTAGTCAGGTAATAGCTACCGATCCTGACGGGGTCCGGCACTCTTAGCCACCCTCGAGTCGGAATGGACGAAACGGACATTAAGTAACAGCCCAAGCCGAGGTCCCCTCTCGGGGGCCATTGCACCTAGTTACCACCACACGAATCGTCCGCCAAAGCAACCTATGAGCTTGGCGGCCTCTCAATCCGGTATTGATACCCGTGCCAAGGCTCCTTGACTAATCTCAAGGCCAACAGAAAACGATCGAATAAATAAAAATTCAAACGAAACGCTCTCTCAACGCTTACGCGCGCGGATATTAGGTTGTGTTACGCAACGTATATGGAACGGAGTTGGTGGGCACCGCCGGCCACTGCACTGCACTAGCCCTACCAGGAATTGCCTCGGCGAGTCCTCGCGGCGAACGATTCCCAGGAAATGCGCGCTTCGCCCCGACTGCGACGTAAAGCTAAACTATGGGTTTTTTTGTTCATAGCTCATGGATTCACTAAATGCACAACATGATTTTTTCTTCTTACTCTTATCCTTTATCTTTAAATGAGTTACTAAGTCGCTATTGTCCATGGTTCTTAATCTCTACTGAACAATCAATGGCCATAAATTACATCGTTTAATACCTAAAACATTATTGCGGACCATTTAGTAGTTTTTATTAACAACATTTTTATTCGTCGATACCTGTACAATTAATACGCAAAGCATATTTTTATAGACACACATAACGGCCGAGTGAGCTATTAAACGGGCCAACTCGCACGTTAACTCGAACATTAATCCGTCCAAATGAACCGTCGCTAATAAACTCGTGAGAAGCAACTGTCGGGGTGCAATTAAGAATTACGCTCGCCTAGTGGTGCCGAGCGAAGCCACCGTTGGATGGGACGGTGACGTTTCACCAGCGGCGCGAGGAATTGCCGCGTTTCCGGCTCTTTCTTCGCCAGCAATAGGATAATTGGAGGTGCGTCGAGTGCGCGCCGAATGACCAATTGGACGCGATAACCATCGCCCGCTCGATTACAATACAATACACATACGCACATAGCTGCTCGCACGCGGCCCACAGTTGAAATTGGGAGGCCTCAGACATCGAACCTTCTCGAAAGCTTCAATGAATAATAAAAACATAGAGCTGCTACGGTGATGGCGTATTAATGTGTCTACACCTGCAACCGCAACCGCTTGTTGTGTGCCCCCTATGTAAACGAGTACACTAATTTAATACAGACTTAAACGCATTACTATTTTATCACGTAATTATAAGGAATTTATATTTAGTTTATTAATTAAGATCTCGTCTGATTCCCCAATAGAGATCATTTAATTTCTCATGTGACGTGTTAAAGCACGAACGTAACTTCTCGAAGGAATTTTAATTAATTATTCTTTTTTTAATTAACCTATTCTTTTACTATTTTAAAACATAGTTTAATCTATTTTACGAGTTCTATTGCAAGAGAATCCAATTGCAAGAATCCATTATGATAGAGGCTAGGTCATCGATCGAAGATCGAAGTGAAACTTTGAAATGATTTCCAAATCGTTATCCGATCCAAATAAAGATAGTAGGGAATTATCGCCATCGGATATCTAGAAAAGAACTTGACGGGTGAAATTGACGCGTATAAAATTCATCCTTGTTTAGATAACACTGCGAAAGTGCATGTTTTTCGTTCAAGCTACACGAAATCGCTCCGGAGGCTCTGATTAATCACCATCACTTGTTTTAGAGATCCCCGGGACCGACGGAGCGCCCCATTCGCCACGCCTCACAGAAATCCTAACGACAAAATATATACGAGTGTACCGACGTGTACACATTGTACGTGTACAATCGTACAATGTGTGCCGTTCGAACGACGTCGTGGCCTCGTGACGATAATATTATTTTTTATTCGTCACGAATGGCATACAGAACCTGCGGGGAGGGCCGATAATTTCATGTATCGCTCATTCGTGTAACATATTTGTTCCAACGACGCCGTCGTGGGCAATTATCCCTGTCACGTAAAGAAATTCGCAAATCGGAATTCGCCTCGTAGAATGTTTAGATGCCAAAGCCTGTAATTCAAAGTTAAATCTGTATTTATATATGAAATTTGATGACAAATTATCAGACGTTATCTTATTCCATTAGATCCCTGACAGAGAGACAGGCAGATGGATGGTTAGATGCAAAGATAAGTGGGCAAATAGATAATTTATGACATTTATAGACGAGTGCGTTATTTTCCCAACGCTACAAAATATTTCCCCCATATTCATTATCTATGCATGGGCTATATTTTACATTAATATTTACATACTTCTAAATCGTTGCATTAAATCAAATAAATATGAGACATCGTGTTTCACATGGAATTAAAGATGGCGTCTCTCAATCCGTGTTTACGATTGTTTTTTTAGGAATTATGTCATCAAAAATTGTCACGCGTCGGGTCGCTTGGAAATAAATAATCCAGCTTAGTTAGGCTCCGAGCTGTCACACATTAAGCCCTGTTTTTTATCGGACACGCTGAGGCAACATCGTGGCCCAATCGTAATTACCTGATTTATAAACGACGCCATTAAAATTCCGAACGAGATGTTTCAATTTTAATTCACTAACTAATAACAATTTATGTTGAACGTGACATATCACGTATTATTACGTTACGCTCAATATTAATATTTTATAGATAAACAACAGAATGGATCACACACACTTTACAGAACTTGCAATTTTGTTTCATAAAACACTCATAACTATCAGCTTTCACATATTTATATTGATTTAACGAATTCAGTAACAGTACTTAGTACTAAAAGCGTGAATTTTCTCTTTACAAAACCGTTCCTTAAAGATTCTTCTGATGACCTGCTCGTCTAGTAAATACGATGTGGCACATAATTAACTTCTACAGTCTCGCTGAACTTGTTCTAGTTGATCTTTGTCTGAAATCTATGTCGCTTTAGTGTTTTATCCCGTAAGTAATGTATATGTAATGTAAGTGGACTGGATAGATTTCAGGTAACTTTCATAACTCGCATCGTGTCATTGACGAAACGCGTAGTGAAAGCCACCTCGCACAAGCCTAAACATATGTTGACATGTGCGCATGTCAATATTAATTAACGTGAAGTGGATAGTAATTAGATCATATAATCTTTAGCAACGAGTCGAGAGAAAAAGAGTGAAGAAAGACTAAGTAATGCACCGCTCATCATGGAAGAAGGTCGTGAAATTGTCGTACTTTCCTTGAATCAGTATTTATTTATTATACTTCAAAGAGCTTCAGAGAGTGAAATTTCAGCTAAACTGTTTTATTACACGGTTTGGTACATATACACATAACCAGTATGTATACAAGGAAAAGTTTAAAAGCGTTTTAAGAAAGGTGTATTAACTATAATTTTTGAGAAGTAAGTTTTTATAGTAAGTTATTTATTTAAGTAGTAACTTAAAATAAAACTAAAAATGTGTAAATCTAAAATTTTTTTCGCAACTGCCAGGATTCGAACCCGCGTTATCCGCTCTAGCCACTAAGCTAAGCTAAGATCGTCATCCTCACCGCGAGAAAATCTCTACGTGTTATCTAGTTTGTTTTACTTTTTATTGCATTTTTAATTTTTTAGCCTACACGACAAGGTTCATATTTGCTTCCTTTGCAAACATTTTCTCAACTTTATTGGCATATTTCAAATAAAATACATAATTAATTAGATGACTCCGTGGCGTAGTTGCCAAGTTATTGGCTTCGGCGTCGGGGGTCGTGGGTTCGATTCCCACACGGGACAACTATTTGTGTGATCCACAGATAGTTGTTTCGCATCTATGTTTGTCCGCGTGAACGTGGGCTATCGCTTCCCGCGGTAGGAGCGGGCGCGCGGCGTTTGCGGCCGCTCTTTTTTCACGAAACCCAATCTGCCGGTAAGGGGATACCTTCCCGCGGGCTGGTTCCGCGCCGCCGTCAGACGCTACACGTATGATGCATTGCGTGTGTGCGTGCGCACGGCTCCGGTTGCGCCCTTAATGGGACACGAACGCCTTCGCCTATTCCCTGATCCCCCCCATCATCGTGAACATCTTATTAAACGTCCTTAATATATACGTGAAAGACATTACGTACTACTCGAAAAGGTAGCCCGGACGAATACCTTACACTACAAGGATTCGTAGATATTTCCTATTTGGTACCAGTGTAAAAATACATGTCGATGACTCTGTACATCTATATCGAGACAACCCACTCGTTTATCTAGCTCTACGTTAGAAGTCCCGTCTCTATGTTATACTATTATATTCCTCTAAATTTATAGAAGTAATAAACGAAAAAAGGAGGACATAAAATAAATTTTTCAATTATGTTTTCCAATGTATATGTGTCGTATATGAATCGGTAGTAGCTCGAGGAAAGCGGAAATGAAATGAGATAGTTCTGACTCTGTTTAGGATAAGCAGGTTTCTTACCACCAATTCATGTGCTTACATTATAACGTTTATGTACATGTAAAATGAATATTTATAAAACTAAAGTGGATCGGAAGCGTCCGCTTAGCGTTTCCTCCGATGTTCCAACGCTAGAGCTGCGCGATTCCACGACGCATGAGATGTCGATAACTTCCACAATCCATTTATTATCACAGGTCCGTTTGGTGGTTATATTTTCTATATATTTTTATTATTACGTTGTGTTGATCGTATTTGCTATTACAATAGCAAAAAAAAACAGGTGAATTCAATGAAGAATATGAATTAATACATAAGATTTAATGTTTCTATTTACTTTGTTTTAATATTTTCTTACATTGAACTAATACCCTGAGTAGGTACACCTACGATGACGAACTGAAACAATAGTGTGACAATGTGCAGCTTAATGTACCTATAGGAGGTCACCTTTGCCTCTTTTTCTTCTAACAACTATGTACTACCTCATCTACATATAATGCTTCATTAAGAGTACAAATGATTTACATTTGAATGACTAAATCGTTGATTCTATCTTTATTTGCACTAGGAGTTGTATCTGGAATATTCGATGTGACAAGTGACAATCTCGTCCGTCGCCGGGGCCCTGGCCCGGCTCCCTGAGTGCCGCGGAGATGTTGCCCGATAACCACGCGCCGCCCTCCACGCCGCGCTCCCAGTCAGCTGTTTGACATTCGCACCGGAGCGCTGCCCCCGCCGCCCGCCGCGCCCCCCGCCGCCGTCGCCATTTTTATCGAGCGGGCCCCGCGCCCCGCCGCCGCCGAGCCGGCGCTGCCGCCGCCCCCGGCCTGAGGGCCGCGAGGGGGGCGGCGGGGGGCGGCGCGGCGCGGGGAGCACGGCGCAAGCGCCCGCGCTCGCCTCGCCGCCGCAGTCTCGCGACAGCAACCGTCGAGCGCGCACGTCCGCGCGCCTCCGACCGCAAAATCAGCTGATCGGCGCGCGCCCCGCGGCGCACATGCCGTGAGGAGGCCGCGCCCGCCGCGATGACGGGCTACGCCCGCGGCGAGACCGACTTCGGCGCCGCCGACCGCTACCGGCGGGACGCGCGGCCCGCCTCGCTCGCCCCCAAGGATTACTCGGTGCCTTTACACGTAGACTGCAGTATCGAATACGAGCTTCCCGACTGTGCCAAGCCGCCGCAGGGCGTGAAGATCGAGCCGCTGCTCATGATCCACCCGTCGCACTTCCGGAGGCTCGAGAGCCTGCGGCGCGTGCCCTTCGTGAACAACCTGCCGCGCGAGGTGGGCGCGCCGTGCGAGCGGCGGCGGCGCCGCTGCTGCCGCCCGCCGCCGCCGCCCGAGCCCGAGCTGGCCAAGCTGGCGGCGCGCGCCCGCCTCAAGCACGCGCCGCACCCCTACCTGCCGCCCGAGGCGCTCGACTGTGATATAGCGCGCGCCCTGCCGCCCGCCGCCGCGCACTACGACCGCTTCGACAAGCGCGCCCTGCAGCAGCTGCCCATCTACATGTAGTGCATGCGTTGTGCCCGTTGTGCCCATTGTGCCCATTGTGCCCATCGTGCGGACGGACGGACCGATACCAAATAGTACCTACGTGCGCGTTGTTCGTATTGTTTCACATTGAACGTTGTTTTACTATTAATTATTATCATTATTATTATTAATTAATAACTATTATATTACAATTGTGTTGTTGCTGCGGATTGCGGACCCACCGACGGACCTATGTAATCGCTCGCAGGCGCCCCGACCGATGCTTCGTCGTAAATTATTGTACCGTCGTCGTCGCTCATTCGTCGTTGCGTATTCTTCTGTGTAAGATGTCATATCGATAATTATATGTTCAAAAATTGTATTATAATGAATATTATGTACCTATAGATTAAAAATGAAAGTGAGAAAAAAAATATTACGAATAAAACTAGACATAGTTATGTTTTCGAATAGATGATGATTTCTAGAACAGTCCCGAGTGGTAAAACTAGAATCGTGTCTTTACTCTCATTTTGTAAGCAGTTATGTTTGTTAAAATTATATATGAAGAGTCCTCTGATGAATAGTCTGATTAACAATATTCGGCATGTAAAAGTCTTTATAAAACGCTTACTTAGCATATCATAGTATTATATTGTGTCATAGTCCAATGCCAAAAATATAACTATCTTTTTACAAAAATCCTTAAAGCATCGTTTTATTTACCTCCACGCGTGCGGTCCGGTGTGTGTCGAACGGTGTGCGTAGTGTGCGTGCCAGCGGCGCGGTGTGCGAGTGTGCTAGTTAGTGTACGTACAGATTCCGATGTAATACTGCCCAAGGAGGTGCCCCCGCCCAGTATGAGCGTGCGGAGTGCGGATCGCCACCACGAAGTAAGTATAGCCTTCCGAGGCCGAGTGGTGGCCGAGTGATGGCCTGGCTAGCTGCTGGAAGGCGAGCACGGTCCACACCAAAGCCGCTCCGAACGCATAGCGGTGGCGGCGTAGGTCGCAACGCGCGCCGTAAACAAAATGAATTCCGATAAAGCTAAGGCATTGTGGAGTTATTAAAGTTAATGCCGTCACATCCATCAGAACGAACAAATTATAGTGGTTTAATCAAAACGCATTAACCGGTCCCGACCATGCAGCATAACCTCACGGCATCTATCAATTTTAATTGAATTGATAAATTGATTGTCTCGTGTAACAGTTAAGATTAGCAATGAAACTGTTATTCGCGACATTTAAGATTTCAAAATGTATTATATACATAGTACACTACATTGTATTAATGGAATATAGCATCAGATTCTTTATAGGTCACCCAGCTAAAAATATTGTTTCCAGGTTAACATTTTCATACCAACGCGGTGGAATTATATTATAAAAATTACTCTTAAGGCCAATATGACAATTATTTCTTATTTTACAATGAAGATAAAGAATATTTTACGGGATTATGATTTATGAATATCAAATACTAGAAGTAATTACTTTTTAACATTGGATGGTGACCATTAAACTGCGTAAAAATTATATAGCTCATTGTATCTCAACGAGGGGACGCAAATCATCATATGAATTGGGTTACGAGGCCATAGAAAACAAAATAACAAAATTGAACGGAAAATAACGATAGGTGCGATTGCGTAACCAACTGTTTCATTTCAATCAATTGTATTCAGCCCTATTGAGAAGTGTACTACAAGGACAAAATAATAGTTTACAATAAATAGTAAAAATATAATGGTAAAAAAGGATACAATAACGACAAAATAAATTGCCCAGAATATGACATACAAAGTAATACCTCAGTTAACGGCAATCATTCGGAATATCCAGTAATTACTGTACATAATTGTAATGAAATGAGCTATCATACAAATTATTCGCTTCATTTGTTTTATAGGAGGTACAATGCAACTTTTCTAGGTTTTACTAATAAAATTGACTAAAATGCTAATGTTAATGAAATCAGTTTATTTAAACCATCAGATACAATTCATTGCTATGAAACGGAGTTCGAAATATCAATAAACTTTTAACTTAATATGTTATGTGAATAATTTTTACGTTTTGGATAAAACGACTCATTTTTAATAAAACAATAATTAAAACAAAGTTATGTAGGTTATGTACTCAATATTCAATGTACGGAAAGTAAATTAAGAATTTAGTGACCGTGCTTCTTCTGAATCCCCGTAGGAATATTGTGCGACTTGTTAGAAATAAACTTGTATCCGAATACATCATTTCAATACAGCATTGTCTCATTATGAAGCGAGCTGTAATTGTGCAAGATCATTCTCATAACACTGACTCAACTATCCCCCATTGTGGCTTCGTGCAACAAAACAATGAAAGCTGCACCACTCGCGTTACCTTAATTCGAGATTAAGTTCTACGCAACGCGGCGCGCTCCTGTTAAATATATTCCAAGACTTGTCCAAACAGCCGATAAACAATAGAAACACTCCAATTAAATATCCTATTCAACGATTTGACGCAATGAGTCGTGAATACGGCACAATGAGTGGTCGTCGGCACAGGCATTAAACGTGGTGAATGGGGCTATTGAGGGAAATGAGTCTTCGGATGGTGCCATTTTAGCTCGGTGTTATTATTTTATTATAACTAATTGGTCGTTTGCAGGCGAGTGCGTTCGGGCCGATTCGATATGAGCCGAGTGGGCGCCGTTATGCTGGCCGATGTTTCGGCGCATTACGATTTACGATCATTGGGCGTTTTATGTTCCGACTGGCAAAACTTCCAGCGCGGCCGCTATAGCAGCGCTATCAATAAGGCCGTGTAATTGTACACGTACCGGTGGTAATGATCGCGTTGAAACGTCGCTCGCTCGGCTCTGCCGGGGCTGTTGTGCAACGCCCCCCTACATTTTCCGATCACGATTACGATAATGGCAGCGCTACACGCGGCCACGTAGTGCAGCCGTGGAGCGCGCCCAATCGCCCAATCGACCATTACGCTCGCGAGACTGCACTCCATCCGCCATCGTCCGATTCCAGAGCGGGCGGCGACGCTGAATTAGCATCCCATCCGCCTAATGAACACGAAATAAACATCGCGACTAATGGATGATCGCCGCCGCCCCCCTCGGGCCCCCCCGACGCCCCTCCGTCCCGGTGGAGTCGAGCCCTGTCAGCCGAGAAACGAAATTATTCTGCAAGACCGAATTAAGGTCGTATTTATTTTATGTTCCGCGCAATAAAAAGTTTATTGTTGCTTTTTACTGCTTCGATATTGTGCGTACACAGATTACGGCGCTGCGGCGGTCTGGGCCCGGGCGGCGAGTCCCACTTCTGTTCGTGGTGCAACTAGAAACCTCAAGGATACGTTATGATTGTATATTAATGTATATTAATACACACACAACTTTAACTTTAAGTAGCTAGGATTGAGCTTCGCATGAAAGTGCGGATTAATCGCAATATATTAAGATTCAAATGTTGGAAGGTTTAATTGATACAGTACACCTTTTAAAAACAATTATTCATCCTAACTCTATATTATAAAACGTTCTGAAGTATAAATTTTTGCACGAAAGTTGCGGTGTACCTACTGTAGTAATTACCTTCGTGTGCGGGGAGTAACGAGCTTAAGATAAGTTGGGGTACTTGAGGTAATGTATTGTATGAGTAATGGTCGCGAAAATGTTCCTGGCCCGTCGCACTCTGATAAACGTGCTTTACGATCGAAATAGCAATTCAGTAATTGGCCATTTCGCCTCCATGCGTGTTTCGTGTTGCGGCTAGACTCTCGCAGAATGCATCTAATTTGAAATTTCGTCAATGTTTCATAATGTTCTCTATCCTCCTGCCATTTATTATTAATACAGTTTCAACATCTTATGGACTCAAAAAAATCCCTATCCATCATATAAACTTATTTTTCTTATAAATGACATTCTATTTCCCCCCTCGCTTAGCTGGGAATATTTCCGTATTTCAACCGACCGGCTAATGTTTCGTGCGCGTACTGAAAGATAACATGATCACAGATAACAACGAAATATATATTTCCACAACATATGTTCAGCGTGTTAGTTTACACAAAGCGAGTTCGGCACAGCCAGGGCTCGATTCCCGAAACGTGAGCACAATTTATCGTCCGTATTATCTCTCGTAAAACGAAAACCCAATTTATGTACCGCCCGCTGCTGCCATAAAACATAATATTATCGACATCGTCCCCTCCCTAGGCGATCACGAAACTAAGCATCGGCCATTTTAAAGCACCGAACTTGACGTGCCCTGAGCCCTCATCCATCTCTGTCTAACACGCTGCCTCACTTTATGGGAGACAGGGATACGTTCCTGGAGCGGTATTCCTTTAAGAGTTGTTTTGTAAGCGCGTTATGGTTCATTTCAGTAAAGGTATTTATAAATAAAACTCACGCCACTGAACGCGTGCGTTTATACTGAATACTCGTAAAGGCTTACATACATACATTAAGGACACGACATCGGCTCCTCAACGTAATGATATGCTGCGATTATTATCATTATACTTCATCAGAAATAATTAGAATTATCGCAACGATGCGAATTAGCGATGTGACGCTATTATCCATTCACGTTCTAAATAAATAAAATGATAGAGATCCGCCTTTGTGCGCGCATCAAGGTAAAATTACTGCATTAAACAAATTCTACGTTTTACTTCTTAGACACCTGTAAAGATAAAAAGTTATTGTGATATCTTCATTTATTGTGGAGTTATTAAACTATTCTTGCCATCGAGATATGGGGCAAGCGGTTCAGTTGCTAATGAAATGCGCAACGCAGACGAAGTCGAGTGTTTCAGCTAGATAAAAATATAAATGATAATATAATTTAATTTAAGCGCTAACTCATCAGCTAACATAATAACAATTCTCTGATATTTTACGAAGACCTACCCTTAGTGATGTTATCCTAAGATTATTTTGAAATTGATTCAATAATACGGACTAAACTCTGGGAACAATACATAATAGCGAGTTGCATGCGCGCGGATCTGCGGAGTGGATGGAGGCGAGTGCCGACTTGCCGAGTGCATGACCTAGAGCGTGGCGGGCGGCGGCGGCGATCAGCTGACGGCGGGGGCGCGGCGCACACACGCGCGCCAGCTGACGCTCAAGATGGCGCCCTCGCCCATTGACTCGGTGCCGACGAGCTCCCACTTCCCAGCCACTCTCCCAGAGGCGACGCTGCCGTCGGAGTCGAGCATTGTTTTCATTTTCTCAGTATATTTAAATACGTATTTATTTTATTTTCCGACAACTCATTGGATCACGTTAGTATTATTAGCATGCATGAAAGCGTACGGTGAAAATAGGTTACATTGGCTGTTAATTTAACGTCGGTTATGACTTTTAAAGTTTTTTCGTCTCGCCTTGGCGAAGTAGTGAATCGTGTGTCGTTAGATTTTAATTCATGATTTGCTTTGGATGTTAAAAGTTAGAAACTGGCTGCGCGTAACTAATTGCCTTTCCCAAGCCTTGCTTGCAAGTTAATTTCATTTTGAATGGGCAATTTTGCACGCTCGTTATCTTTGTGTGTTGCGACCGCAGTCGTAACGGACTCTTGGCTCTGCTTTGGAATTCATTTGTTATTGAGGAAGGCTGTTTTAGATGCTAGAATGCCTCCATTTAGGTTGGATGTTAACTTTATACCTACTCGGACACAAAATTATACAACAAATGGCGAACAAAAAGTTAATAAATGGGACAAGTTAAAATTACAGATAGATAGCGTCGACTTGACGGAAACATTACATAACTATGTACAGCGGCGTGGTCAGGGTCCATGTGGCGGGTGTCGGGTAGTCGGGTACACGCGAATAGCGACCGCCTCCGTCACTACTTTGCCACCGTTCCGCAGACACCATTACGCTTTCGTGCTTAATGAACGGCCTATTGTCGTGTAATTAGCCGCCTTTCGCGTCGCACTGGAAAGTCTACTTTAACGATTATGCCAAATGGAACGTGCAGTTGCCGCCGCATGGAGCGTACTCTTGATAGCATACAAAAGTCTGTCTGCGTGTCCGTGCGCCTGCGCGAGGCCTTCCGGTGGCCTGTGTCAAATACTAATGCGCTAATTGTGAACCGCCCGCTTATTTACGGCGCTCGTTCGCAGTTGATTCCGCTGCGCTTTGCAGTCATTTTGAACTCTAAAGTTCCACTCGCTAGGTTCATTTTGCCGAATCACTTTGCCAAATAACTATTTTCGTGCTCGGCTATCGCTTACTTAATTTCACTTATCGTTGGTTGGTAGAGTATAACCGAGTGTCCGTGGTCTATTGACCTCGTTTGCATGTTTAGTCTCTTCCGCGTACGCCCTTCTGTCAGCTAGAGTGAGGATGGGAGTGGGTTCTCTAAGCGGAATGCATGCGCCGACCTCGCCGAGCAACGGACAATGTTCGCACGTCGAGCACGTCGCGTGTACTTGAGCGGCGTGACATTAACACGCGTCGGCGTGACGGACGTGCTAAGTGTGTCCGAAGTATCGGGGGCTTTCTACCGGAGCGATGTTAAAACGCAGGCAGTTGTTAAGTGCGAGGATGTTTCGTGTGCGCTGAGTTAGTGTGGACCCGATGATTTACGCACGCGTTAGCTCCCACTCTCGCTAATGCCGACACAGTCGAATGATAGATCTGTTAATGACTTAAGTACGCTTGGCGCAGCATTCTGAGGCCACCGTAGCTTGGGTCTGTCGCTGTGAATTATAATCTTCACTCGTTCACGTCGGAGTAACGCCATTACCACAGTAGAAATCAATGAATGGCTGGAAAGCTGTCTAAAAATCGTTTTCTTTTTTATACGGTACTTACGGAAAATCGTCATCATTTACCGTCTATGCGCTGAATGGTTTGAGCCGCAAAAAGTGTCGCCTCGCGGATTATACGCTTTCTGTTTAGAAATACTGCAGGTACCCGTAAGCAACCTTCTGGCGGGCAATTGAATGTTGTAAATCGTTTTGTTTCCGGCCTCGTGGCTGCAGGAGGTCGTGCTCAATGAAGCATGTTCCTCCGTTTCGGCCGATTTGTTTTTTTTTTTTTTTTAAACAAAAAGCACGGACTTTTCCTCGGCTGCGCCGTTATATAGCGCTCAGACTCTACGCTTGAATTTATGTTCTTCCCACTGACTTTGTGCTATGTTATCTATACAAAACTCTTCCACGTCGTTTAAATTCGACAGAAGTTGTAATTAAAAAAGTGATGAGTCGATGACTATGACGAATATGCTAATGACTCCTGACGTAATAGGTTTCTTTCGGTCAAGATTTCGAAAGTTGCGTAGGATGTGTATGTTGATGCAGATTGCTCACTTATATGGCAATAGGATGAACAGTCGTTATCTAAGACCGTGGTACAGAAATTAATTCAGTGAAATTAACTTCAATCTCCGATTGAGGAGTTAAGTTTTGTGTCCGAATTGCTTGAATGTGCTTGACATTTGCGGTAGTAAATTGATAAGAATAGAGGCAGTACATCAGTAAACAGTTAAAGGTAAACAAGGCCAGTGTTGGATGAAGTCCTTCAGTATCATTGTGAGATAAATAAGGAACGCATAACATGTTTCATATGTATTTGAATGTATAAGTAACACATAACTTGGCGTTGTCCTGTGTATATATTTTATTTGTTATTGTATATATTTTATATAGCGTATAATTAATTGTCTTCTTTAATCTCTAAACAAACGTTGTATGGCGGAAATCCATTGCAAATAGCCTTGAGGAGGTAAAATTTACTTTCGTAACACTAGTATGGTATCGCGTTGACAAGATAGCGCTTCGTCAGAGAATATCGGAGCTAATATCGACCGAGGCATCTCGTCGAGCCGTTTATAAGACGACGTCATTAGCGCTGAATTTGGCCTACGGCGCCTTACTTTATGCGCCAATGTGGCATGACTGCAGAGACATCTTTATATAGGTCTAAATATATTTGCTTATTAGGATTATATAACTGTAAAATGCTATATACCTATAATAGTAGTACTTGTTCATTTTTGTAATGATTTAAACTATCAAAGAAGGAACATCTAAACTACGTTGAGAATGCATTAAAATGTATAGCAGAAAACTAACATTGATAACGTAAAGACTAATAAATATGAATACTTGAGGACACTCGTGTATAAATTTCATTTTACAGTGAGTAATTATTCTGTTGTTTTTAACAAGAAAAATAAATTGTAGTTCATAAAAATACATCGCATACTAGCATCAAACCGATTAATCTACTTTCAAAAATATCTTATGAGGCATACCTCATAGGGTATCTAGAGGTATAAACTCGTAAAATATTTGAATAAAGAAAGCCCAGCAACGCTATCAAGCTATCTTGCTTGACACGTACGCTTGTGTGTGTGTCCACGGATGTAGGTGGCTAGGTGTGTGCGGTCCGTGGGCGCACACAGAGCGCACACAGAGCGCGCTTCGCTTGATCGATCGTTGTCAGCGTATCGGCTAACATCGGAGGAATTCGTGCTCATTTATGTGGATGCGTCGGCCGTGTGACGTGTCAAATTCAGCCTCAAGTCGTGCATATTGAGGGTTTATGAGGAAGGTATCGATATCGTACCAAATGTAAACACTCGAAGGATCATAATTGGCACTTTGAATGTTCCGCCATACATGTACGCATTAGGCCGAATATCAATATTGATATAATTCTCTGTAGCGACGGTCTAATAGAGCGGTTCACAATAGATCGCCAATGCGACAAATGGCCGACTCGGGGACAGAAGCAATTTGTGGAGAACATCTAATAAGGGTCAGCTCCGAAAGCAGCTCGTGTGGCGTTAAGTGAATTATTGTTTTCACAAATCCAAAAGTTCCACTTAGATTCAATTAGACCGTCCCGCCTCGAGCATTCTTCGTTATATACTCGCATGTTCGGCTTTTAAGGGCGATAACTGCGTGGCAAGCCGCTTAGCGCGTCCGCGAGCACTAAGTACTTCGTCCCGAATTCAAATTCAAAGTTACGCCAATATATGTGAAACACAAACCGATGCGCGCCTTAGTTTGTATCAGTCTAACAGCTTTTCCCCGATATTTTGAATTTATTTAAATTTATTTAAGATCGCAAACTGAACATTAGATACACTCACATTACAGAATAATGGACACATACAGATGATACGGAACTTAAAACGGAAGTGAATGTTCTTCTATGAGCGAACACAACATGCACAAAAAACACTCTCAACAAGAAATAATCTTACAAATATAGAAATAAAAAAAATAACTTTTCAAACATAAAAAATAAAAAACAAAAGAATAATCTTAACTTTAAATTACAACTAATACAAAACTATTGAAATAAATTTTAAATTATAGCTTAGCCCTTAGGTACATATTTTTTTAATATTACTACACCATACATTAAATATGTCGAAATCCTGGCATATAGCATTGTAGCACGAACACAGCCGGTACAAAAGAGAGTGCTGACCGTAACGGGTGCGTCGGAATGGTAGCGCAAACACATTTCGCCTCTGCAAACGGACACCAGGTCGTGGCAGACTGAGATTTAATTTCTCGAGAAGGTCGGGACTTTCTATTTTACCAAACAATATTTTGTATAGTAATACAATGTCAGCCACTTCGCGTCTACCAGCAAGTAAGTTCATTTTATAATGTTATAGACGACAGTTGTAATAATTCAAAGTTAGGCAGCGATTACTAGCGTATGTCAGATGGTACATGAACTGTTTTTGAATCCTTTCAATTATTTCAATGTGAATTCCATAAGATGGGCTCCATATAGGACTGAAGTATTCCAGTAAGGATCGGACGTAGCAGTTGAAGAGGGTAATAGGAATTTCTGGGTCCTTAAACGTTTTAGTTTGCCTTATCACAAAGTCTGCTAGTTTCGACCCCTTTTTAGTAATGTGGTCTATATGCTCGCGAAAATCTAACTTTTGATCCTCAATAACTCCTAAATCACGCGTACTTGTGAAGTCGTTTAATGGAATGTTGTTTATTACATATGTGGCATTTCAGGGGTCGCGATTATGGGTGAATTTGATATGGCAACATTTTGAAGCATTAAGAACCATATTATTTCTAAGGCACGATGTATTAATAGATTCGAGGTCGTTTTGTAGGGCTCTTATATCTTCGATCGACTTTACTGTTCTGTAGATCTTTAAATCGTCAGCGAACAATTTGAAGTTGGAGTTTATTGTGGAACAAAGGTCGTTTATAAATACGAGAAAGAAAAGAGGCCCTAGATGCGATCCTTGAGACACGCCCGAGGGAACTTTCTTAGGTAGGGACTTCAATCCACGAACAGAGACCAGTTGTGAGCGATTTTGCAGGTAAGACTCATACCACCTAAGTAAAGAGCCACATATGCCAGCGTGACCAAGTTTTTGGATAAGGATACAATGATTCACCACATCGAAGGCCTTGGAGAAGTCTGTGTATACTGCGTGAACTTCATTTTTATTTTCAATTGCATCAATTGTATCGGTGACAAACCCAAGGAGATTCGATGTGGTTGATCTACCTGGAAGAAACCTGTGTTGTTGAGAGTTGATTACCGGCTTTAAATGAAAAACTAGAATTTTTTGGACCATTATTTCGAGAATTAATATTAAATATGAAATGTAGCGGCGTTACTAGTTGGATTGCACATGTCTTGAAAAGAACAGGTGGTAGGGCATCTGGATCAGATCCTTTGTTAGTATCGATTTGTCTTAGGGCTTTTAAGACATCTGATTTCGAGAAAACGCACGAACTAATAGAGAGGTGATAATTATTGGGACTGTGAGGTTGTGACACGATTACTATTATTTATATGGAACAGAAATAGTTTGAAAATAAGTCGCTAATCTATTGCCCTCCATATACTTTCTGGTTACCCAGGAACATTTCATCCGGAATATTATTACTGCTGGTTCATTTAGAACCAGCAGTAATAATATTCCGACTTGATGAATGTCCAAAAATATTTTGGGTTCTTTTTAATGTGCATTATCAAGGTTTTGGCATTCCTCTGTGTTTGTCCGCACTATTCAAAAGTAACCTAAGCTATGTTCGTTCTTATGCGACCGTTGGGTCATTGCCAACGCCTCACTTCAAAATGTAAAATGATTTGATATTGAACGGTGACCTCGCTACTACTACTTCTAGCTATAAACAGTCTATCTAATTGTTATTTGTACATAAGGGCAGCAAGGCAGGAGGGAGTCTACTTGGAGGATGCTATCCCATCACGTAAAATGTTCAAAGTATTTGTTCAGACATTAAGGTGCGCCCTAATAATTATGGCTAATAGAAGAACTTTCTGAAAAAGTAAGTAAAGTAAAGTATCAGTCTATACATGTCCCACTGCTGGGAAAAGGCCTCTTCTGTACAGAGGGTCTCAGGGCATAGTTCACCACGCGGCCCCACTGCGGATTGGCGGATTTTTAAATATGCAGGTTTTCTCACGACGTTTTTCTTCACCGCTGAGCACGTGATAATTCAGCACTTAAAATTGACAATTTCATTGGTGCCGGCACCAGGGATCGAACTCAGGTTGCTCGAGTATATTGAATTAGAGGCGAGCGCCCGGACACTGAGTTATCACGGCACTTTCTGAAACTAAATAAAAAAAGCTTTTGGTGCTTGGAAATGTCTATCGGTTTTTGCGTCGCTTGTTCAACGTCCCCGTGACTAATCGGCTCGCCTAATCCCGGTTGGCAGGCGAGCGGTGGCCCAAGTGCGGGCGGCGGGCGGGGTGATACGCCCGCTCCTCCCTTATCTTAAGCCTAACGTAACGAAAAATTGTTTCCACGTAGCTAAACCGTTTAAAGTCACGGATCGCGGCCAACGTTCTCTAAGGCTTCCTTCCACCTAGTCGAACATCGATCTCCGCGACTAATGTTAATTCTCCATTCCCAGTAATAAACCGTTTCGACATGCTATTTCCTGTTGATGCAGCACAAACTTCTTAAACATACTAGCAGTTCTTAACCGTAGCAACCAAGTTATTATCCCATACTGTAAATATATTCAAAATTGATTAACCTCAAGAATATAAAATTTTATTAGGTCCGTAATCTTAGTAACCGGTAATTTTCATAGTTTGCATGTAAACGTATTGATGATATTACTTCATTTTCATTTCGAGTTTTGAGTGCAAATTAACTAACTAAATTCGCATAACTTTGAAGTGAATTCCAAATTTTACTACAAAATTGTGACGGATGCTCGAGACAGGACAGTTAACTGAAAACTGCTGGTATTATAAGAGTTCTAACGTTCCCTAATATGTTAACTATTACTGAACTTGAATATTAACAACTATTATAACGACAAGCAGCACTAGTGGTTATATCACCGTCCGGGAACGCAGCCGAAATCCAAGTGACCACTCCTCCATGCGACCATGTGTCCCTTGGCTCAAGTAGATAACGTCATATCCGGTAAACAGTGTTGCCAGCGCCAACAGTATCATGATAAAGTTAAACTTTAACTTATTTAACTGTTAAATAATAATCTATCAGTAGCCTACCGAAGATTTATCTTAATAGTTTACTATAAATAAATATATTTTATAGTTTACTATTGCATTTACGTTCTAGAAATATCGAGTGCTACAAGCAAAAAATAATTCTTACTATCCTTACTTCCTTACTAATATTACGCGAAAGTTTGTATGTATGGATGGATGTATGCTACTCTTTCACACAAAAACTACTGAATTTTAATTAAACTTTACAATAATATATCTAATACCTCAGAATAACACATAGGCTATAATAAATAAACATATTATGTTAATTGTAAATGTAATAATATAAAATAAAAATAAAAATTGTCCAAAATATAACAATAAGTGTCAAGTAAGTTGGAAAAAATTCTATCATCTGCAAGCTATTCTGGTGTATAATAAAAAACCCATTGTTAATTCCTTTGACCGCGCGGGCGGAGCCGCGTTTAACAGCTAGTTGTTGAAAATATTGGTCTGTATCCTTTTGAAAATGCTATCAGCGCAACTATTTGGCGTTACCAGAATAAAACTAATTTTAGTGATAAGTTTTTGCCCTCGTTTATTAAGCCTTTACTATTTCTTTTCCTATTTAATTGATGTAATAAACAGGCCCGGCCCACAGCATATGAATGTGTGAAAACAATGGCTTTAATCATATAATGCACGCCCTTCCGATAGCCAGTGTGGCCCGCCGAGGCCAGCTGCGAGAGGAGCCACCACCCGGGCTCAGCAAGGTCCTCGCACTCGCACTGGGGGCCATTCATCACGCGATCATTGCCGTATCGGATCTCGCTTGGCGTGTAATCAAATCTCAGTGTCGGGCCATCGAATATTGATTAACATTCCGAGGTATGGTTTTGAGCGAGCTTCAGACAGCAACATTGGAAAATGTGCCCCATTCAAATTTATTAGTGTTTTAAAAAGGACAAAGATACGAGGCGACGGCCTTTGACTTAGTTAACAATTGTTAATCGCCACCACCATGAGGCCTTTTCACGCCAATACATATCAACCTTCTAGTCACAAGTTTTCATAATGTGTTTGCGGCTTTAACAACTTTTTGGCAACTACGCGGAGCACGTGCAGCCTTGCATATCGAAAAAATTGGCAATCTACCGGCTTCCACGTTCATACGTCATTGTGACATAGTGTTGCAGGTGTCTTGTACAAGAAACATTGTCTTGAGAACCCTGAACCTAAACCGAAATTATATATGTACATACGTAGGAATACTCAACAAATTACCTCACGGCTTTCATTTTCTCGCAATGACTTCATTCTTTTTGTGAGAAAACTTTAAATTATTACGTGCTATTTATAATGTTTAAATTAAATACGCGTCATATTTATCCAAACTATTTTCAAGAATGTTTGCGTGTGGCGCCTTCCGCTTGCTGCTACTTGTTCGACAGGGGATCTTGTAATGTGGACCAAACGTGTGGACATTTTACAGGAAGGTAATACTGACAGACAAAAACTCTTAATTATTTTGACTATAACGGCGTAGACAGAGATGGTTAATGCGTTACTACAACAACTATTTGTTCCAGTGACAGAATTTCAGGCAACATGCCACTGGGGCTCGAATTCGTGTCTCATAATCGCAGAACCAATGTCTGGGCCACTGAGCCATACATTTTACACGGCTTATTCCAACCAATACGTACTTAATTAACGAGTGTCGGAGCACGGTCGCGGCTCGGCTTGTTTACGTCGGACCTCGTGGGCCACTTACATAGTGTCACAGATAACGTGACATTTGTATGTTAATTAGTCAGCCTAATTAGTATAAAACAGTAATATAAAAGAAACGAATTCCTCACAAAACTCGTTCACGTACCTATTCCAATGGCGACTTTTGACCAATTTCTGAAACACAATCCGAAACCGAAACTACAAAAATACATGTTATGTGACAATTCTTAATGCACCTTCTCCCAATTAAAACTTCTTTAATAAAATATATAATAAAGATAATAATGAAATAAATAAAAAATTATGTAAGATGTAAAATTGCGATCCAAGAAAGGTAACGTGTGCAGAGGATACAAATGTTGTTAAAAACATGTTACCAGCAGTATCTCTATAATTATCGTATAAATCGTCTCTTTCGCAATCAGAACCGATAACAATAAACTACCTTAATAAAGCAGACGATAAGATACCAATCTGGATTGGAGGCAGCGAAATAAAAGCACGAGCGCTAACACATGGCTGGCAGCCCGCGGGCTCGTTGCCGTCGCTATGCAATACGACTCAGCCTCCTACGGATGGCTTTCGTCTCGTCCTAAACTAATGCGATGGTGTTTTGTACAAGTTCGAAGGACCCGACCGTCACTTCGTATATCAGGAGAGGGGAATGAGCTAAGCTTATGCGGTTACAGCTTTTGTTACAATAGTTCCAATAAATTATAGCTATCACATACTAATATATAATTCGACAAAGGCTAATATAATAATTCGACTAATGTATTACGTTATACATTTGTATGTAAGAATTTCCCAAGTGTTCCCCAAAATATCTTTGATACCACAGCCGGAGTAGCTGGTAGCAGCCCTAGTAGAGTGGTGGAGCCAAAGTAGTATTAGCTGTAGCAGTAGTAGAAAGTAATTAATATCGATAGATGACATAAGCAAACAAAGGCTAAGATGCGCATATGACCGTAAACGACCACTCTCGAGTGAATGTCGTCGACAAATAGTAAGTACATAAAAACTGTACCTGTAAGCTGAATGAATAAATTGCGATCTGCACTGGTCTACGTGTAAGGCGCGGCTTCTAAGTGGAAACAAAAAAAATGCACTCATTTATTTTGGTTGTGACACAGTAACGACATTGAAAGGCGCAGCGCTGACGATAATCTTCTGGTTATTCAGGACGAGTCATTTGGATCTGTGGAAGTTATTTATATGTTCATTTCATTAGTCTGTTTAATGTAGTAATGGCGAAGGAATGTTAATTCGTCCCGGATTGAAAACACAGCGCTTGTTTACACAAGACGCTGAGCCGCCCGTTCGTACATTTATGTATGTGTGATCCAGTTGGCCGGTTAGTGTGGCGTTCAACTGCTCACGGGCTCTAGTTGCTAACTTTTAAGTAATAACCACTGGAATCTGGCGCTGAAGAGGAACGCACTAAAATATACACTTTATAATACTGAAAATGTTACGATGGAACATAGGTCCGGGCATACATATATTATATACCTACTACATGCATTTTTTTTACAACTGACCAGTGAGCACGTTGTACAGTCATATTTTTTATTTAAGTTGAGAAAACTACTGTTTCAATAATGAGCTCAAAATGTGTAAACCTTTCGGTGCTTTCGGATTCGAACGCTAAGTGACGCTTTGTCAACTAATTTAAGCGGCCGATAGCCTCTCGGTGTGATAATCTCGGCATCTATCTATTTTCTTTTTTGCTTGCATTTTTAATGATAGTAGGCGCCATCTTGTGATCATACGATGAATACATCCGAATATTGAAAGTCATTGACCATATTATCTACATACAAAATTCACACTAAGTTTCATCTTGAGCGCAAGGAAGCTTATTAGCCACCCTTCTGCAAGTGCATTTAGGACCATGTTTTACTTCAAGGGCATTTGGACGCGTAATGTTATGAGAGACTTTCAACATTAAAATTGCGAAGTTGAGAATATCGCCGAGTGGAATGCAACACTTTCACTCGACGTCCAAATGCCGTGCGAGAGCGGTGTCCCGGGGTGCAGTGAGTTCATAACAATGGTATCAGCAGACGTCAGGTGCGCCGTCTCACTGCGGAAATTTCCTCGCTGCAAATACTGCATTGAATACACTTTACAGTTTATTCAAGGAACGTGCCTCGTGCTAGAGACGTTTGCTTTGATGGCGGACCATACAGTAATCATAAATTCTCTGTTAGTATTCCGTACAGTTTGCTATCGCCGAGAGTACCTACCTCAGGGTGCCGCTGATTTTATATTATGGTTTAAATTACCGATACATGCTTTTATAATTGTAACAACAATTTTAACGTTCGCTTTGCACCTTGTTTTTTCCATTACTATTCTGCCTTAATTGTCTCTTTAATCTTCTTGTATATTTGTGTTATTATAATAGCTCGCACCGATTAAAAGTTTAGAACTGAAAATGGGATCGCGTAAACACAGCTCTCGGGTCGATAACGAAGCGACTGCACGTGACTGAACGTGCATAAATATGTTGCAATAGAGCCGTTTATATTCTGCCTGTCGACACATCATCGGTGCGCATCCGTCACCGCTATATAATTCGTGGGCGCATTCGCTAACTTCCCGCGTCGTCGACGGACTGCGCGGCTCCGTGAGCGGCGAGGGTGCATCTTCTCCGTCTCCAGTTTCCCACCACGAGCGAGAAGCCCGATCCCTGTACCGGCGACGGAACGGGGCTACGGATAGTCGATCGCATTACGCATTACTTCGCTCAAATTATTTCAGCCGACTATTAGGGAGGGATTGTCGTCAGGCGAAAGGCGCGCGGCGGCCGGCGTGGCATTACGGCCACAACGTTATCGGCGGCCCTATCGCTAACAGGCAACAGGCCATTACGGGGCACGTTCGCTGATTGCGCTCACGTGGGAGAAAAGAAAACATTCTCGGCTCGGAGGCGATCGCGTGACCAGCTCATGGCGCGCACTCTGTACTGCTCACGTGGACAACTTGGCCACGGCAATCCTTCTTTCCAATCGTTCAACACGAGTGGCTGCCCGAATTGAAATTGCTTATCTTATTATCTAACAGAGGTATCATTGTTATTATCAGTCGATTATTGTATTGTAAAAGAGATATCCTAAAAGATGGGAAACGCATAAAAATAATTAAAGCTATAAAAAAACGGACGCACGAGAAAGATCCTGAGGGAATTACTTAGTATTGGAGGTCACGAGCCATCCTCCAGGAAACATAGGTTTTGAAAATTAGCCCCACGCGTGTCGGTGGCACGTTGGCAATGCACGCCGCAAACTCTGCTATGCGTTTACTCTCTCTTTATTGGAACAAACCGCTTTGATCTATCAACATCGTCATCATCAGGTCGTTGCTGTTACTCCGACACAGGGAGAATACGTAAACGTGAACAAAACTATATGAGAGGTACGACTACGAACATAAAACATACACGTTTGACATAAACAGGAGAAGGTGCTTTTTGCTTATATCGTATATCCTATAATTTTCGTAATGGAATCGCCGGATAATTGTTCTCTTTGAAGCCAACGGAATCGCAATAATTGTTTCTTTTAATTCCCGCACTAAACGCGCGTAACGTAAAATAATTGATCCAATTTAGGACGTATACCTATTTAATAAAATACGTTTGGCGATGGTCGCATGTTTTATTCATGCCTCATTAATGTTCCGTTCAAATTGTGCGATGTCCTTTGCGTAACACAAGTGCCACGCGATTTCCTTCCTGTTCGAACTTAAACAAGGCCTCAAAACAGTAAACGAGGCAGTCGAGATATCAGCTCTATTGCGGTGGTTGGGCTCTTACCGTCGCTGGGTTTCGCGGTTTCATTCCCAGCTGTGACTATTTTAGTACAGACGACAGTCTCTGTTTTGAATAAACATGAATTAAATTCCACCTTCAATCTTAGATCTTAAGCAATTACTTAGTTGAACAAAGAAAAAACTTCATAAAACAACATTACAACCAATTATAATGCTACGTAATTATTTATTACCTTAATTGTTATGTTCCGATAATGTTTAAAATTTTAAACATATGTTACATAGATTTTTTGTTTAAATTGTGGCAAATTCCTTTATTGCAAAGCATATTTGGATATTGTCGAATCATTTCACTTAAAATATAACACAAAAACAACTGATCTAATTTTAATTACTTGTATTTAATGTTCAAATAGAAAGGAAATAATTTTGCTAAAGATTCATCTAAATGAATATGCAACTAACGACATACAATGCGTTTAACAAAGAAAATAATTGTTCCTATTTATTTCTAACCAACTCACTTGTCTCGCCTAAATGTCTCAATGAATCACTGCTTTTAGGAGACATACTCGTAAATTAACTCTGAGTTAGTTTCGTGTGTCAGTTATTAGCAAAGATCACACAGAAGGCAAACATTAGGGCTATTACTTTGCATTAGGCATAGATTAATTAGGTTGAGAATTATAAAGCTACAAACATGTCGTAATTTACACCGAGTATTAAGTCTTACAAGTATATAGTAAATAGCATTATATGATATATAGCATAGTAAATAGCATTTATACAATTATATAGATTTATTTTTTTTAGTTTCGTTAAACATGCTTCCGAATTTAAAACTAGTGAAACTCCGTTTACATTGTCTCACGTTCTGAACTGAAGAACTACCTAGAATAAAAAGTTATATAGCTTAAATTTCAGTAGTAAAAGAGACATCTATCCTTCAAATTATCGTTGTAAAAACTTTATGTGAAATTGTTAATGTGCTATAATAATATAACTTATAGATGCGCCAAGCATTGCATAAATGGCAAAATACAAAGAGGATAAAATTCGCAGGTTTGAACCCCGCAGCGCCAAAAGTTTTTGTACAGTTTAAAGTTTCACCTTGGGTGCAGGGACTGACACTAAAGATAAATGTTAATCCTAAAATGGATTAAATATGTTGAGAATTTCGTCGGCGTGACAATTAGCCGTTTAGCTTTGTGATTAAACATTGTAGGCGCAATACCGGTAGACGCGGGTTTAATTTCCGTGGTAATGAAAAACTTTTCGTCTATTTTTCTTAAAAAAATTAATGAAGAATTATAGTGAAAACTTTACTTCGCTGTAGGATCGTCTGGCTTGTGAAGTTATAAAGATTCTTCACACTTATTAGGACCCAATTCCTATTATATCAGTATACGCATATGTAATTTGTGATTAGACGAGCAGACTAAATCCATACACTAGACCAATTGAAGCGTTGAGTTGTTAATGGTTGTTCTTTATATTTTTAGCACTTATAATGTGTGACTGCGTCTTGACATTGACTTATCGTTCTAATGATCACATCGATTAAATGCACCTTCTCGAAGATATTGGATGACAGTAACGCTCACATTTCCCTAGACTCCGCTGTAGGACCTTCTCTGTTAAACATTTTTATCTTGAAGTGCCTAAGCCAAGTCGGTGCCCGACGTTATCAGCTTTGTTTATATTAACAAGCTCTCGAATATGTAGGCCACATATGTCCGATGTGACAATGATAAACGACTCATAACTGCGCTTAGTATTAGTTCAATTAAAGAATGTAAACGTGGTAGGGCCTCGCAACAGAACCCTCTGTTGCAAGAATGGGCAGGCCCGTCCGGGGTGGTACCACGGCCGCACAGAAGACCGGCGTAAAGTGGAGGCTTTATGCTTCTGCGTTTCGTCTGGTGAGTGAGGTTGCCGGATGCCCACTCCCCCCCCCCCCCTTCTTCTATAAGCTAGCGGTATCGGAAAAAAACCTACCCCAGGGGGGTACCAGTCCCAGTGGTTCTGGAGAATCCCCCCCTGGCTGCGACCAGATGACTATTCGCTTTCTGAGCGTAGGCGCTCAGGCTGCCCCACGTATTCTGGGGGGGGGGGGGGGGGGCAAATACCGCTCTCAACTCCCATTGCTCGAGGCAAACGTAGCAGGCTCACTTCGGCAACCCCTTCCACGCTCTCCGTAGATTTGTGCAACATCAGGGGACTTCTCTCAAACCTTAATGCCGTCCACTACCACCTAGAGACGGCAAAGCCGGCCTTGCTGTTCCTTACTGAGACTCAGATATCTTCTCCGGCTGATACCTCTTTCCTCTCCTACCCCGGGTACAAATTGGAACATTCCTTTGTACCGCGGGCGGGGATGTGCGTGTACGTCAGAGAGGATATCTGTTCTCGTCGCCTCGGCAGTCTTGGAGGACGGGACCTATCCATCCTCTGGCTACGCGTAGACTGCGACGACCATCCGCGTATCTACGCGTGCCTATATAGGTCCCATAGCGGTAATGCCGAAACTGACCAACTCATTGAGCACATCCAAATGGCTACAGACTCCGTGCTGCAGCAGATCCCATCCGCAGAGATCGTGATTCTAGGCGACTTTAACGCCCATCACGCCGAATGGCTCAGTTCACGCACCACCGATCATGCGGGGAGATCTGTTCACAACTTCGCAATAGCTTATGATCTGACACAACTGGTCACCTCGCCAACGCGAATCCCAGATGTGGAGGATCATACACCTTCCCTGTTGGACCTTCTGCTGACCTCGCATCCGGACGGCTACCTGGTTTCCGTCGATCCTCCTCTTGGTTCGTCGGACCACTGTCTTGTCAGGAGTACAGTGCCCGTTGCGCGCTCTACACGGCCTCGCTTCGCAGGCTGCCGCCACGTATGGCACTATAGGTCAGCAGATTGGGACGGGATGCGGTCATTCTTTGCGTCCTACCCATGGGGGCAGATTTGCTTCTCGTTGGATGATCCAGACGCCGTTGCTGACTCTGTCACCGATGTGGTGCTTCAGGGTATGGAAATGTTTATTCCATTTTCTGCAATACCCATCGGTGGCAAATCCCAGCCTTGGTTTGGTCGTTCCTGCAAGACGGCATTACGCCGAAAGTGGGAATGCTACCGAGCCTGGGCTGAAGCTTCGGCGTCTAGTGATGTAAAGACCAGCGCATTAAAAAAGGAGTATAACTCTGCTTCTAGGTCCTTCAAAAGCGTTATTGCTAAAGCGAAGTTGGAGCACATTAGCAGAATTGGCGAGAGATTGGCGCGTCTCCCATCGGGAACACGTGCGTTTTGGTCTCTCGCCAAAGCTGTCTTAGGGAATTTCTGTAAGCCATCTTTTCCACCCCTGCACACGGAGGATGATTCGTTGGCCCATGCCGCGAAGGAGAAAGCCGATCTTCTGGGCTCTCTCTTTGCATCCAACTCGACTTTGGATGACCGAGGAAACTCACCACCATCAATCCCCCAGTGCGACGTTACGATGCCGGAGGTAAAATTCCGGCAAAGTGCAGTTCGCAAAGCACTTCTTTCCTTGGACATTCACAAGTCGAGTGGGCCTGATGGCATCCCTCCGATCGTGTTACAGACATGTGCTCCAGAGTTGGCGCCGGTTTTAACGCGTCTCTTCCGGCACTCCTATACTTTAGGCGTAGTCCCGAAATCATGGAAGGCCGCGTTAGTGCACCCGATCCCTAAAAAAGGCAACCGCTCTGATCCGTCCAATTACAGGCCAATAGCCATCACCTCCTTGTTCTCCAAGATAATGGAGTCTGTTATCAACGGCCAGCTCCTGCGGTACCTAGAGGAGCACCGGCTGATTAGCGACCGCCAGTATGGATTTCGTCGGGGTCGCTCAGCCGGTGATCTTCTGGTCTACCTTACTCATCGATGGGCAGAAGCAGTTGAGAGCAAGGGGGAGGCGCTTGCAGCCAGTCTGGACATAGCGAAGGCCTTTGATCGGGTATGGCACAAAGCGCTTCTTTCGAAGCTGCCTTCCTATGGGCTTCCCGAGAAATTATGCAATTGGATCACCAACTTTTTGGCAGATCGGAGCATCAAGGTCGTCGTCGATGGTGCATGCTCCGATCCTAAATTTGTCAATGCTGGTGTTCCACAAGGCTGCGTACTGTCTCCTACTCTGTTTTCTTCTGCATATCAATGACATGTTGCAAATCAGCAACGTCCATTGTTATGCAGACGATAGCACTGTGGATGTCTCGTACACTGGCCGAGCTAACAT